TCCCCTCGCCCCTCCCTCCCCCTCCCACCCCCCCCCCCCCTCTTCTCCCCTCCCTCTCCCCCTCCTCCCCCCCCCTCCCCTCCCCTCCCAAACAGTTTCTATAAACCCCTAACCCCTAAACCCTAACCCCAACCCCTAAACCCTGAACCCTAAAACCTAAACCCTAAAACCTATCCAAAAATAAGGTTCTGGCTCAAGGGGGGTTGCACAAACAAGCTCACGGAAATTCGCTCCGGAATTCTTGTGTTGAACTCGTCACATCTGGCCATGGTCTAGTCCGCGGGTACTTCTAACCTACATACCACTCATACAAGCTGTGTGCGTGTGCTGTCGCGGACGATGTCATGCCAAGAGTCTGCCCATGGGCGTTCCAGCAGATCCCCTACACCAATGGCGATGGCGACGACTCCAAAATGCAGCGTGCACCTTACGGCACGGGATGGGGGGTGCGGGTGGAACTTCCTGAGTCCGCTGTGCGTCCAAGTTGCATGTCTGTGCCCCAAGGGATGATGTGCGCCAAAGGGTTTGCAAGCAAGTACACCAGCAAGGTGTACTCGCCAAGCACTTGAAGGACCCCTGAAGGGCGCATCATGACAGGCAGCTGTCAGTGTCAAACAGAGGACTTCAGCTCCCACGGGGACTAAGACCGAACTCAAGATCAAGTTAGGACAAGAGTCGATGGCTGACGATGCTGTTCAAGATGGACCGGTGACCTGAAACATTCTCCAAATCCAGCTCAAATCTGCTAATTTACTGCTGGCATTCGGCACGGCTCTATCAAAACATTTTCGCTTCTCATGCATGTCGCCTCGATGCTTGCACTATCAGGTGCTTGACAACACCTCTCGGCGACTCCTTGCAAGTGCGCGGCCCATCGTTGATGCGAGGACCCAAACGGCTATCGGCGCCTGAAATCGAAAACACAGCTGGCACTGCACTCACCCCTAAACCCTAAACCCTAAACCCTAAACCCTAAACCCTAAACCCTAAACCCTAAACCCTAAACCCTAAAACCCCTAAACCCTGTCCACGAACGCAAGCAGCGAAAGGAGGCGGAAATGAGAGCCGAGAGGCGAAGCAGCCGCTCCAGTACACGGGTTGCCATTGAGGCACCCATCCATCCCAGAAGGCAGTAAGAAGGACTGTGGCAAGCCTAGGCATCTCAGAGGACATGCAGGACCTTTCGAAAGTCAACTCTTACACGTAAGGGTTTGGGCCCCCTTATGCTAAGAGTCCTTCATAGGGATAAGTATAATAGGGGAATACCATAATCCTTCCTAAGGACTGCTCGGATACGGGGGAACATCCCAGCTTACGCCCATCTCGCGAACTGGATTGGGACATGCCGTTGCGCTTGGCGAGGCTCTGGTCTGTAGCTTCGGTTCCGGTTGTTCACGGCGGGGTTTAGGGTTTAGGGTTTCATAAGACGGAATGTCGGAGTCCGAGCCAATTGTTTTCAGCCCACCCCTGCCCTAACCGGAGAAACAAGAAAGCAACAAACAGCAACCTAAACAGAAAATATCATAAGAGAATTCGCAAAACACGAACCCCTTTTCACAGGAAGGAAGAAAGGAATCACCGTCAGACCCAGTCAAACCCTAAAACATCATGGCCCCTCGACCCCCAACCTCAAACGCTTAAGCTTCCCAACTTCTCAAAAGTGCGAGCCCAGGAGCAGGGTGAGGTCACAGCACAGGGGCCACAGCACAGCAAGGCCGGTGGAAGCTGTTGGCAACATCCGGGCTACCTGACCGTTCCACGAACCCTAAACCCTGAACCCTAAACCCCAAACCCCTTTTTACAGCAACCTTCAAACCTGAATACGGAAAAACCCTAACTCCCTCTTTGGAGCCATGCTGATGCATGCTGCCACTGCGGCGCCCCTTATGTGTTTGGGAGGGGGGGTGACCTTTTTGCAGCTTGGGATGGCCATCCCAAGGAATCCCTGTGAAGACCTCGGGTCCCCGGCTCTTGGGGTGAAAAGCTGCAGGTACAACTCTGGGTCTCGAGGTTTCAAGGCAGGGCTTCGGGATTCGGATTCCTGGAAAGCACTGGGTTTGAGGCTTCTGCTGCATGATCTGTAAAGGCATAGCTCTTCCTGGAATGGCTACAGGGACGATCACCTCAGTCCCAGCTAACACCCAACAGTGAGGAGGCTCGTGGACTGAACAGAGGCAGATCCGTCAGCGCGGGTAACTCCAAGGTTGGGTGTTGGAGTTTAGGGTTTACGGGTTTAAGAGTTTAGGGTTTAGGGGTTTAAGGGTTCAGGGGTTAGGATTTGTGTTTGTGGTTTAGGGAAAGTGCCTCGCAGGCTCTTGGCAAGAAGAACCATAGCACGCCACCACTTCAAGGAGACAGCAACAGCAGACACAGAAGGTAAAACCGTAGCAGCGATTGGGATGTACTATAATCCCTATGAAGGACTGTTAGTAAAAGGGGGGAACATCCCAAAGTAGCGAGTCAGACCGACGCGTTCGTCGTGGCGTGTGGGCAGTGGTGGTGTTTCCCGTGCACCACCTGATGGAAACGATATATAAGACCCTAAACCCTAAACCCTAAACCCTAAACCCTAAACCCTAAACCCTAAAACCCTAAAACACAGAAGACAATGATACCGCGTCGACTGGCAGGGACAGCCGAAACGGCTGAAAAAATCACTGACCAACTGGACCCTGGAATCGACAAACTCGGAAACATAACCCATCATTGAACAACACAAGTTCACAAATGCCACGAATAGGGAGGAGTTTCCAAAATGTCAATAGCCTCAAAAGAGGAAACTTCGAAAGTTTCCGATTACGAAGGCAAAGTTATCAACAAACATTGAGCATCGTAAGATCAGGGGCTATCATTTCGAAATCTATATGTTTGGGTTTGACAAAGCTTGGGGAGAAACGTTCGAATGAATACAGCAAGTTATCATGCTCACAAATCCTTCTATTCTTGTCAAGGATTTTGGACCAAATGCGCATAGCAAGTGTTCAACCCGTGACCCCTAGCGTAGACCCCTAAATTGAATAGGAACCCCTGCGCTGCTTTTTGGCAAAACCTAGATCAGGGTCTTGGGGTGAGGATTGTGATCTTGGGTGCGTGGGTCAAGTGTCTACGACCTGGGATCCACATCGTGCTTGTCAACGTGAAATCAGCCGTCGTTGATAGTATCGACCCTTGGAAGTACAACAATACCGCGCTTGCAATTTCCAGTGCCTCCAGCGAACTTCGCTTGCTTCTGCTATATTGTGCTTCTTGTTGCTCAACTTTTTCAACTGCTTCAACTACTTCAAGATAATGAGAACAAGCAGGTCTCCTGACTCACAATATACCGGCATAACGACTTTCTCTGCAAGTTCAACGGGCAGTAAGCCTGTATTGACCCAGGCTTTGATATTATTAACGGTTTGCAAAGGCTCGTGTAAGAGCATCTGAAGGCTCAGCCTCAGTGTCTGCGTAGATGATACTTGGAACAGTGTCAAGGAAAGGTGATAGACTTCTGACTGACAAAAACAAAAAAGAACGACTTGCTCAGCTGTGGTGGACGATGTTGTAGGCGACCCGAAGATTGCGATGAAATGCTTGTTACATGGAAATACAATGACTTGCGCCCATTCTTGGACTGAACGTTCTGGCGCAGGTTGAACTTGAGCGAGGTCAGTGTCAGCACTGAACATGAACTTTTGAGCAGTGAGCAGCACTTAGACACAGGGGATAAGTAAGAAAAAATAACTCTAAAAAGAATTAATCCCTATATTGCCCTCATAAGCAAGTGGTAGACAGTGATCTCGCAAGTAACCTTTTGGGTCTCTTTTTTTGAAGTTACCGGCCTTCCTTGAACTACGTTGTCTTCTGCTAGCCTCATACCATCAGTCACCCACTCCCTAGCCCCCCAAAGCCCCCACCTCGGCTGTTCCCATCCCCAGGCAGAAGATGAAGATGTTGTGCTTCGCATCCTGAGCCGAGCTGAGACAACGGCTTGTTGCCACCCTCGGGGCTTAGGGCATGAGCTTGACAGTCAGCAGTCAAGGGGTCGGGCCCCTGGGGCCAAACGATCGGTCCGAACAGAGTGAGGACTGCTTTGAGAGACCTTCAACTTGCCGCTGTCTTGGAGGCCCTTGTTTGCATCCAGCCTTCCCTAAAAGGTGCCAGAGCACAACAGTAAGCTGTCCGAGGGTCTTGGTAGCAGTAATAAGGATCATCGGCGGTGTAACGAAAAACCTGAGAATTTGCAAGGCAGATCTCCACGCACATGATGCGTGGCACATGTGGACATCACGGAAGCACGACGAGCCTTCTTACAGCAGAGGCTGCACGAAAAACGGCTAGAAAGCCAAGGCGCGTAGCGGGACCACCTCGGATGATTGAGTGTGCCACGTGGAGGGAAGTGCCAGAGAGGCCCAACGTTTTGACAAGACTGCCCTTTCAGCTTTTGCCAACTGCATGCCTCAAAGCACCATCTGCCCAGCACGCTGCTCTTGGTTTTTGGCAGAAAGCTCTCTGTCCCTGTGTCCGTCCGCATCTTCCGTTTGTTTTCTGACTCTAGGCAGCTGCATCGGCTCCTACCTTGACGTTCCCTCGGTGCCATCTTACCATGCCAAACACCCATCCTCACCTCCGACTCGAGTATCTTGCCCACTGGAGGCTCACCTGAAACTGGCAAGCCTCACACGCAGCCTCGGCCTGTAAAACCAGAACCACAACCATATAAATACAAATCAAACAGAGACGGTTTCCGAGCCCGTCAAGCCGTCTCCCCCAACAATCGCACCCCCCACCCCCCTCTCCACTCTCGCCACCAAAGTCTCGTACTCCTCCTCCCGAGCTTCTCCCCAGCATCGTTCTGAGTCCTAAAAGAAAACGAAAAAATGTACTGAAGCCTTAGTTCCCTCGAAATTATACCCGGCCCCATGGTGCACAAAAGGAGCCCCCCCCCCCCCCCCCCAACCCCCCCCCCAGAGTGGCCCCCCAGCCCCAGATGACAGACCAGAACGAATGCAGCTAGGCACGTCTCATTGCATGTGCCGGCCGCCACCAGGAAAAACCACAGCGCCAAAGGATACATCCAGCTGGACCCATATCCTGCACATTCTTGGGGTAGCCCAGTACCCATCGTTTAATACGGGTACCCCTGTTTTTCTTTTGTGTGTGTGTGTGTGGAGTGTGTGTTTTTCTTTACACTTATAAGGGAACCTAGACCCAAATTGGGCAAAAGGGCACCACTGGGCTACCAAGCATTGGCAGGTGGGACGCTGCAGCTGGCCCTCCAGCTCATTCTCCCTCTGCTGGGTCTCCTAGTTGCCCTCCTTCCACAGTATTTCAGTTCCCTACATTTACTAAACCCTAAACCCTAAACCCTAAACCCTGAACCCTAAACCCCAAACCCCAAACCCTAACCCTAAACCCGAAACCCTAAACCTTCTTCTAGGCCAAAGCTCTCTGCCGCGCCATCAGCAGTATGCGCGACGGAAGGGGCGCCAACAGCCAGCACCTTGGAACGACGCAAACTGTTGGGAAGTCATGACAAAACGTGGTAGTAGAAGTAAATAATGATACCAATACTAGTAACAACAATAATAATCATAATCATAATAAGAATACTAATAAGAATAAGAATAATAATAGTAATCATAATAAGAGTCATCATCATCGTCATCATCATCATCATCATCGTAACAACAACATGTAAAGCAATATGCTACCACAAAACAATAATACTGACAATAATGATACTAATAATCGTAATAAAAATAACAACACTAATAATAATCATAGCAATAACGATGATGGAAAATAAAAATACTTTAAGAAGAAAATGTTATATAATGCAATAATGGAAAAGTATACCGTCACTTCAGGTGCGGCGGCAGAGTCGGTTCTACCTTGTTTTCTTTTCCGCTGCCGAGCCAAGGCGCCAAACCAAAGCGCAAACCGTCCAAGCTGGAAAGTTGGTGGAAGGCTTCGCCGCGTGCCAGCTGCACAACATCAGCACAGACTCCTGATCAGTGCGGCATCGCCCGCAACCTATGGGGAGCTGGCCCAGCAAGATGGGGTTCTGTGCTAGATTTCTTACCTAGTACTGGTCGTAGAGATGGAGCTGATGCTCAAAGGTGCCAAAAACAACTTGTACCAAACTCCTATCGCCCATGCCGACCCATCTCCTGTATGTTTCTTCCCCCCCACAAAGGCTGGCACGCATGAGTCCTCGAAATCTGCCGTCAACGGCCGACCAGATATGAGCAGAACCGAAAAGTGGATGCCTTGCTGGGTTCGGGTCTCCTAGAACATCAAACGGCCTCTCCGTGAACATCTAGCGATGGGGGGGGGTTTACGGTTTAGGGGGTTTAGGGGGTTTAGGGGGTTTAGGGGGTTTAGGGGTTTAGGGGGTTTAGGGGGTTTGGGGGGTTTCGGGGATTTAGGGGGTTTAGGGGGTTTAGGGGGTTGAGGGGGTTTAGGGGGGTTTAGGGGTTTAGGGGGTTTAGGGGTTTAGGGGGTTTAGGGTTTAGCCCTTGAAGGTTGATTTTGGCTCCAGGCACCATAGTACAATGGCAGCACCCGGCCAAGGCGTCGGAGGTAGAATGCTGGTAGATGCGCTTTGGGACCAGACATCTTGTCCTTGGATGCAGAAGTGAGACCACCCGCATCCACGCTTCCTGCGAGAACCTCGTGTAGACCACCAGAAACCGTGCTGTGCCCTACATTATCTGGAGCCTCGAGGGGCTGACCCGAAAGCAGTCTGCACTTGAGCCGTGTAACCACAGCCTTTTGAAAACAAGCGTCCGCGTAGGCGTACTGCGTCATGAAGCCAGAGCAGAAGACAAAAAAGGTAACGGAAGTAAAAGTCAATGTTTGGAGGTGGCGTCGCTCTTGCTTATCCGGGCCTCGGAACTTGACTCTGACTCTTAGGGTTCTGGGTGTAGGGTTTGGGGGGGTAACACAGCAAATTCCGCCGGATACCTTCCCTTGCCTCGGAGGTTTTCTGCCGACCCCTTACTGCGACATGCACCTTTGCCCAACTTAACTCAACGTCACAATGCATCGAGTGCGTGGATGCAGTCTGTTCATGTCTTTTCGGCTCTGCGCTTGGGTGCGATAGCTTAGGCTTCGCCGCTTTATTTGTTGTCCAGTTGAGCCTAGGCTATATGCTCTGGACATTGCGAGTACGGTGTTCTGGTCTGCATTGAGATTACTCAGAATCCATTCAGAATCCATAGGTGAGGCTCTGTGAACCTGGTGGTATTGATGCGCAAGCTCACAGTAGGAGTGGCGTTGGCGAGCCCTTCATGCCAGCTTTTTGAGTTCACATCCCCCCCATGCCACTGACACCTCTTGCATGGTGTGCCGAGGAGCTGTAGTGAAAGCTCAGAACGAGTTGGGCCATCAAGAACTGCCAGCCTCATCAATGACTCGCTGTTTCAGAGCACTTCGCATGCGCCTGCTGTGCTGTAGGATTCTCCGCGGCTTCAAGCTCCACACTATCTACGTGTCAGATCAGGTCAAAGCCTGAGTTGTTTGAGGCCAAGGGGCCATTGAAATGCTCAAGCGGCAGCGGGGTCTCCTCATGTGGGCGTGCAGGCATATGCAGCAAAAAAGAAGGATGACAGGGTTGGGGAAAATCTGAGGCAGGTAGCAACATCTGCCTAAGGCCCGAAGGCCCTAAGGCCTAAAGTCCAGCCCATGCCATCTGACAGCATTGCGGATTTCTGAGAGCTCTGAAAGGGGCTTTGCGCAGAAGCTGATCACCTACTTTCGAGGAATCCGAGGAACAATCGTCGCATGAAAGCAGTTAACAGTGCCATGACCGCCATGCTGCAGACATGCGCCTGATGAACCACAAACCCCTTCCAAACACAAAGCCCGAAACCTTGGAAACCCAAACACGAAACTCCCAAACCTGATGCACACCCACCCAACTCTAAGCCCTGAGATCTACGAGTAAGTACCGATTCCCTCACTCCAAGCACTGAAATCGAAACCTTAACCGCGAAAAAAACGACCCAAGTCCGTGAACCTAAGCCGCAAACTGAAAACTTTGTAAACCCAACACCTGAAACTCTCCTAGAGCAGCGTAAACCATCTTAGTCCTTCTGGGACCATAGGCCGTGCCACGATGATCATACTAAGATGGGGTGCCTCATGTGATGCTAGGGCAAAACCGGCGTGTGGACAGTTTTCAGGGTTTGAAGTTCAGTGGGCTTCAGAAGCCTCAGCCCTAAACCCCACACCCTTTTTGGGGTGGCGTTTGCAGGTTGCCCAAAACCCTGGTCGGCTCCTTGCGCGGAGACCCTGTGCAGGCCTGGAGGATCAACAGCAGCGAGACTGCCTCGGAAACGCCCCTCCACTCTCCCCACCACCTGCCTAACCTACTTATTCTAGGGGCTTATGATACTAGGGGTACCTTTCTGGGGTCGTGATTATTAGGGGATCCTACTATTTTGGGGGTCGATATTAGGGGTCCCTTTTACAACCAGGTCTGCACAGCTGCCGGGAAAGTCAGGCTCACACAACCAGGGGTCCCTGATTATTGTAACCCCCCCAAGCGCTGCTTCTACCTCTAGTGCCTCTGCCAATACTACGGCTTTCGCAAATGTAAACAGAGATGCTCCAATCCAAGCCAGGGCGATGCAGCTGAGCCGATTCCATTTCTGCCGCTCCTCCACCTGTGTGCATTTTGACCAGGAGCATTGAGCATTCCCTTGACACATCATGCTCCTGCATGGTCTCTCAGGATGATGTGATCTGGCCTCCACTGGTAGGAGGGGTCCGATGGGTCCAGCGGGCTGGAGATGTGCAGGCGCCTGCACTGCAGTGCTCGCGGAGCGCTGGAGGAGCTCCCGACCCCGAGTCGGGACCTCACAGCCATCGACGGAGCAAGGCTCCGCAGCGATAAGGTATGTAAGGGTGAAAGTCAAGAGTAGTGGCATCTCACCGAGACAGCCTCGAGCCAGCTGCAGTGTGGGAGGATGCCTAGGGTTTAGCGTTTAGGGTGTAGGGTGTAGGGCCTACGCAGACCAAGCATCAAGCTTTGCAAGGGCTGGGGCTTTGATCCCCTGGAATCGATAAGGTGCAATTTTGCGTCCACTGGTGCAACACCCCCCCCCCCCTCCAAAAAAAAAAAAACCTAAACCCTAAACCCTAAACCCAAAACCCTAAAATCTTAACGTTGCGGCTCCTGGTGACCTGGTGTGCCGGGTTTAGGGTATTGGGGCTTGTCGGGTTTGGAGCTGGGTCGGCCACATTGGCCACGGAAGATGCGACCCACTCAATCACCCACAAAATCTATGATGTTTAATGGTGCATGAGCCAGCCATCACACAGAGATTCATATCTGACCCGCATAGGGCTGTCCCTCATCCTTTCGCAAAGTTTTCCGATCTAGTACAGAACACAGGTTTTCCTGTGAATATGTAGAGGGAATAGAGGTTTTCCTGTTCAACAAAAGAAGGAGAAAATAGTGGCTTTGAGGAAATCTGAAAGAAATAGGTTTCCTAGTCCTAGTCATGGCACGATCTTCTTGATAAAGCAAGCTTGCAAGGTTTCAAAAGACATGACAAAGCGGGGGTCGGAACGGGCGGAGCGCGGGCGACCCCCATTTGCAAACGCGACTGCTCGCATGACGGAGTTGGAAAGGGATTCGCATGCCCCAGTCCCTTTGCGGCATGATCTTCTGTATAAAGCAGCTTGCAGGGCTTCAAAAGAAACAGCACAAGCGGAAGGTGTGGGGGCGGCAGCCAGCCCCCCCCCCCCCTCTTCCCCATTTGCCAGCACAATGCTCACATGACGGTCTGCAAAGGATTCGAATGTTTTCTAGATGCAAGTCCTTTTTGAGGCATGATCTTCTTTTTATAGCAAGCTTGTCGGACTTCATAGTTGCTGCTGTTTTGCTTTTTTTCATTTCTTGCTGTCGGCCGTCGTTGTTTCCTGCTTTATTTCTTTCTTCATCGTTCCGTATGTATTTCTTTCTTCCTTTCCTACTTTCTGTGGGACCCATCTCAGGTGGGACCCATCTCGGGTGGGTCGTTCTGTCTTTATGTCTTTCTTGCTAAACCTTTATTTCCTCGAAATGCGCATAGGAAATCTCTGTTTTCTTTATGTTTTCTGGCAAGAAACCTCTACCCTCTATTTCCTCTATATGTTCATAGGAAAACCTCTATTTCTCGTGGTTTTTGAATCAGAAACCTCCATTATTCTCTCTGCATTTGACAAGGACACCCTGGACAAAAAAACGGTACAAAACACAAAGCAAGGCACAACATAATTTGGGGGCCAAAATATGAGTTCTTCGAGATCGAGGTAGCCACAGGCAGTGTCGCAACCAAATAATCAAGAAGAATACTGTTCCGCCACCCACTATCATCAGAATCCGAATCCAGATAAAAGTAGACCCGTCGTCAATTTCCATATGGCAACAACCACTCACGCAGAATCACACAAGGGCACTTTGTGTCGGCCTGAGACTGAGAAAGAGAGAGAGAGAGAGAGAGGGAGGGAGGGAGGGAGGGAGGGAGAATGACAGAGAGAGAGAGAGAGATTGAGATAGAACGAAGGGGAACACCATGCTACGAAAAGTAAAGGAATCTTGAAAGGTCCTAAACGCACCCAGGTCTTGAAGCGCGGAGCTTCTTCACATGGCAATATCAACTTTACTTCTTCTTCCTAACCTTCCGGCCTTGACTGCACCACAGCTACCCACAATAACACGTGCAACTATTTTACGGTTATCTTGCTAGGCTTTGCTAGTATACTTGCTTGGTACTATTCTACGATTCGATTCGTCCTTCTACTATTTTCTTATCTTATGCTATATAACTTTTCCAAGGTACCATGATGCCAGTTATGAGTTTCATCTAGAATTATCTTATCATACTTGCATATTATGACGGTATCATGTAACAACCATATTGGAACACGATAACAGAATTCAATTTCTATTTGCATATATTGCTCTTGCAGCCGTGCTCAGGAATCCCGTTGCCCTGCATCCCATGCAACAAGACTTTTTTCCCTTCAGGGCATAAGCTTCGGCAAATGAGCTTGCTCGGAAAATGTGCTCTCCTTGGGGGAGACATGTTGGATTGTTCTAGATTTGAACTCCCTTGGGGAGTTGAGATAGAGCTCCCCTGCCTGAGCATTTAAACCTTTTGGCCCTTCGGGGCGGGTTCGTCGAACCCAGGACACACGCTCGCAGCTATGACGGTACCTCATTGGGTAGCTGTATGCGCGTGGGCGTTGCCTGTGTCTGGTAAAGATTGGTCCGTGACTCCTCGCCGTAGCACGATACAAGAGCGATGGACCATGTTGCAGAAGCATCAGCAGAGATTGTGGTCACTACGGTCATCTGAAGCAAAGGCTCAACCCCACGTCCTCTGCGCCAAGCAAGAATGCCACCGAAATGCGGGGTCCCGTATCCTGACCTTTCAGAAAGCATGTGGAGAAGGCGAACGTTGCGCATGAGTTATAGTTTGGATGTTGTTCTGCATTGTGCAAGTCGGAGTCCTGTCTCCTGCATGAACTGCTGTAGACCCCAGAAGAAAACTCTTCACCCTACCAACCCAGCATCAGAATGACATGGGCATTCTTATCAGCTTGTCTCACGGCTAGAGTGACCACGAATGTCTGCCCCAAACTTTTCCTTGACCCCAGGCTCAATGTCCGGACCACCGATATGTCCACTGCCGGGATAGCCAGCATCATGCGCAGCCTTGAGTCTGGGTGGCGGGCCACTCTCCATCGGAGGGATGCCGTGGGTGTGGTTTGCCTGAGCTCCACGAGAAAACCAGAGATAAGTATCCCAGACCACAGAGATCAGGGAGAGCGCGGGAGAGAGCAGGCTCTTGAGCATGTGATACCACGTGTTGTGCATGCATGACTTGCAGCAGAACTCATCGATGGTTGGATTCCACCTACGCAAACCCCAAATCTCAGGCCTTAACTAACCAGCTGACTCAGCTCTCTTCCTGCTGCTTGTTCAAGCCCAAACCACAACACGCCCTCAGAGCCAAAACTGTACCTCCCTGGGCACTCCACAGTGGCCTATCTACAGAAAAAACTAAACATGTAGCTCATAACCATTAGACGATTCAGGGTGGCTCTTGTATTCAGAAATCACCTTGTCAAACCCCCCACAACACATGTCATTCCGCTGCAGGGGGCAACAAAAACAGACACCGAGAACATACGTGGCGACCTCATTTAATGATAGTGTTGACTCTGACTTGTCGACCCTCCTCAGTTCAATAGCCCATGAAAAGCTTAGATAATGAATATACATAGTCGGGGCCAAAAGGTATAAAAGCAATTCACGAAACTACAGTTTGATCAACAGGTGGTTCTATAAACAACAGTCAACAGATTGTCGTTTATCTGTGGCCAGCTGCTGTTTGTTGATGTATCTAGGGGCTGATTTAGGAATCTGGGTTAGAATAACACATGGTCTTGAACTGAAAGAGCAACTTACTTGCTCACATTTGCTGGTTGTGTAATACATTAGGGGTTGATTCGAAGACCTGCTTTTGAATAACATATCGACTTACCAAGAAGAGCTTATCACACGGCTAGTTCTACTGATTCCCTCAAGTTAAAAGTGTGCAAAGCTTCACTTTTTGGATGCACAGCATTGGAGATCAGCTACATCAAGCAAAGTACTTCTGCTATTGAGAGGCCGACAGATTCTAAGCCAGAGTTGACGGTGCAACTTAAAATGCAAATTCCAATGCTTGGCTAAATGACATTGTTAGCACAAAATTGGAGCAGGGGCTCAGCCGCTACTCCTTTAGGGGTTTCCGTCTCGATCGATGTCCCAGTACTTGTCCTCCTTCTACTAAGCCGTACTGTGGTTAAGACGAAGAAGACTTTCAGTGACCTCCAGTTGACTGTCCCTCTGCACACAAGATCCAAGCAAGGTCTTAAAGACCCAGGGTCCAAACTTTTGAGGGCCAAGGATCCAAGGCCTTGGGTCTTGAAATCCTTGGCCCTTGGATCCAGGATATATGTGTCCTTTACCGTCTTTTTCCGCAACCATCCCTTTAAGCGCGTAGGTAGGAATGCACAGGTGCAACCTGATTACGTTCTCCAACAGGCTGGACTGAGGCCGGCGCAGGCAAGTGCAAAAGCCCTTCCCTCCGGCGCCCTACCAGAATGGGCTATTAGGCCCTATAATCCCCGTAATCAACCCTATAAAGGGCCTTGTTGAGGGGTTTTAGGGCCTAATAGACCGTCCTGCTAGCCTTCCTAAGCCTGTGAGCGCTGAAGCCCCATGCTCGTTAGCTTGTGTTGCTTATAGGGATGGGCTCCCGGCGTTCCACGCCTCGTTGAAATACATCGCATCCCCACCTGGGCTTTTTGTGCGATGAAGCCCTTGGGGCTTGACTTTAGAATCAGCAGATCTTGGTCTGTGATGGGGGCCTGTGGTTTCTTGCTCCCACTGGACACAAGACATGCGAAGAAAATGCCCTAGAACTTTGGTAAAAATAAGAAAAACCTCAACCATGCCCTAAACCCTTCAAATCCGGGTCCTCTTGCTTGCCAGAAGTCAGGGGCTGCTACGGCTCTCGCCACACTGTACGATGCATTCTTCAGGCAACACGAACCCCGGCCACCAGGTTCCGGTCCCTAGACACTAACTTCATTCTGAGGGCTTTGGCGTGTAGGGATTCAAGGTTACCCTAAACCCTAAACCCTAAACCCTAAACCCTAAACCCTAAACCCCTAAAAATGTAGGTTTGGGCTCCCAAGGGCCTTAGGGTTGAACCCCGGAGCTCCCTCCGGTCCATGCTCCGAGGATGCGGCTGTGAAGCCACCTCCGCTCACGACGCCCCGTGCAGTCGGCACCTGAGGGTTTAGGGTTTAGGGTTTAGGGTTTAGGGTTTAGGGTTTAGGGTTTAGGGTTTAGGGTTTAGGGTTTAGGGTGGTTTGGTTGAAAGGTGGAAGGCTTCCCCTTTCCTTCTCCGGAAGGCTCAAGAAAATTCGCCGGGCTCACGAGACCCCAAACCCGCCCAGAAAACAGCGCACAAGCATAGCTGACCTCCAACAACCGGGGTGCATGTAAACCTGTCTCAGGCCCGAACCGCAGGGTTTCACAGATGAGAATGTGTCCGTCATTGTCTCCAGCCTCAGAGAACTTGCCACGGCAACAAACTCGCATAACGAAGGCACAGTGCAGCTAAACTCCCTACCACAGCAACAATGCCTGAGCCGGCTCATTAGGGTTTAGGGTTTAGGGGGTTCAGGGTTCAGGGTTCAGGGTTCAGGGTTCAGGGTTCAGGGTTCAGGGTTCAGGGTTCAGGGTTTAGGGTTTAGGGTTTAGGGTTTAGGGTTTAGGGTTTAGGGTTTAGGGTTAGGGAAACCCCCCCCCGTCCCCCCCCCCCCCCGTTGCCCAGGGCTCCGGCAGGCATTGGCGGCTGGAGCCCACGGTGTAGCAGACGGTGCCGACACACTTCTTAAAGGTGCATGTGCAGCTGGGGCCTGGAGTCGCAGCGACCCACGTTCTATGGGTTTAGGGTTTAGGGTTTAGGGTTTCGGGTTTGGGGTTTAGGGTTTAGGGTTTAGGGTTTCGGGTTTAGGGTTTCGGGTTTAGGGTTTTGGGTTTTGGGTTTAGGGTTTAGTATCAGGTTTAGGGATTTTTGCAATCCCTGCACTGCACGCAGCACACGCACAGATGCGCCCATGATCCCTGCCTTTAAGTAAGCCCTTGCTGAACATGAGGCGGCAGAAGGCTTGGCAACTTGGCACCACAAACGATCTCATGGCAGAGATCCACGAGAACCCCCTGAGCCCCTGTTTCAGGCCTACTCAGACACTGCCGGGTACTTGACACCTTCTGAGCCTGAAACTGCAAACCGGCAGGCCTGCGCGTTGCTTGGCGCTGTAGATGTCGCGATGTTGGGCATGGAAAGACTCGCCTGATGTAGGTTTAGGGGGTTTAGGGAGTTCAGGGTTTGGGGTTCAGATGGGTTTAGGGTTTAAAGCTTACGTAGGGTTCATCAGCTAGGTGGTTGATGCAATGCTGGGTCCTCTCGGTCTCGTCTCGTGCTCCAGGCACCGCGACTGTGCGGCCACTACGAAGCACTTCTCCCGGCAAAGAGCAAACGCCGATAGGCAAACCGCTACTGAACTCTCAAAGCCTGGGTCCCACGTAGCTCAATCAATATGAATGTGTGTGTGTGTGTGTGTGGGTGGGTGGGTGGGTGGGTGGGAGGGTGGAGTGTGGGCGGGGTGGGTGGGGTGTGGGTGGGGGTGTGGTGGGTGTGACATAATTTCCAAGTTCTGGGGTTCGTCCAGTTGAAGCATGGGGCTCAGGCGTAGAAACATATTAACATTTCGTAGGCGGCAGGCGTGCCATGCACCTTCTGCTCAAACAAAAACCCAAGTCCGAGGAGCTCAAGGCCCGACGACAAAAACCTTGAATGTTTCCTGGGTCCTTGGCCCCTAGGTCCGAAACTCAATATACAAGGCTGTTGCTGTTTCAGTCTTCTATGTTTCATCGACAACTCGGACTGTTCGCAGGAGCCCAGTGCCGGCTGCTCTCTCCTTTAAAGGGGCTTAAAGGGCCAGATTCTAAACCCTGAAGCCTTACTGTAGCAAACCCTCATTATCCTGCTCAAACTTATGCCCTGTTTCCACCCTCATTCCACACAAACTCCTCGCCCTAAACCCTAAACCCTAAACCCTAAACCCTAAACTTTGAACTTTATGGGCCAACCCTGACGTCTGTGCTCCCGATCCTGAGAGGTGGAAGTTGATTTGTATGGCGGTGACCTTGAAGGGTTTAGGGTTTGGGCTTTGGCGTGTGGGGTTAGCTTGAGGGTCTAAACCCTAAACCCTAAACCCTAAACCCTAAACCCTAAACCCTAAACCCTAAACCCTAAACCCTAAACCCTAAACCCTAAACCCTAAACCCTTTTTACGGCTAGGACTGCTGCACTGCCTACCCTAAACCCTAAACCCTAAACCCCAAGGGGAAAAGAGGAGCTGCTTCATTGCCAGGTTTCGTTCAATGGCTTCGGCTATTCCGTCGGTTTCAGAGATTGGGGCTCGCAGGCCTTTGCTTAGTTGTGCTGTCAGCCTTTTGAAAACGGTTTTTCCCCGATGCAACAAATAGGGAGCATGGAAAAACGATCAACAACGACGTTCAGGGCACTTGAAATTGAAAGCCTTGAAGCATTTCGAACCTCGTTCGTCTTGACTGCCATGGCGACCTGAGTCTCAGGTCCACGCGTACCCGCCGTACTCCGCTTCGCTATACCTGGGCTGCTTTGTTCTCCCCAAACCCTTCTTGAATCCTCTTTTGCAACCCGAAATGAGCTCCGGTCCTGACGCCTGTGTGTGCAGCCCTGAGCTCTAATCAAAAGCTGACCTAAATGCCAAGTCCAGAAGCCAAGACATATCAAGCAAGCTCCGAGTCCCTAACTTAGCCTTCTTGCTGTGATGCGACTGGCTTCTTGGGAAGTAGGTTGTCGTTCTTGCTCCGCCTTCAACCCTATACGGTCTTCAGGCCGTTTTGGCAACAGGCCTCCCACCGCCCGGCTCCCCAAATGGGGGTCCCGCTTCAAGTGACCACAAGGGGACACGAACTCAGAAGAACCCCCATCTAAAGCCTACAGAATCAACAAGCGCCCGTGTTGATCGTGTTTAGGGTTCATGGCCGAAGAACCACCCTAAACCCTCAACCCTTTTGCATCCGGGCTTGGGCAGTCGGCCGGGGATGGAAGTTGCGGCTGTCAATGACCTAAACCCTAAACCCTAAACCCGAAACCCTAAACCCTAAACCCTAAACCCTAAACCCTAAACCCTAAACCCTACTCAGTGTCCGGCTTGACCATCTGCATCAGCATCCGCACGCAGCGGCTCCTCCGCACAGAAGCTTCTGGGGGCTGTGAGCTGCCCTGCTTCAGCATGCCAAGCACCATCACACGATTCACAATTGCAAGAATGGTAAGAGTAAGAGGAATAATAAGAACACTATGAATATTTAAGAACTCAACTAAGAATATTTTAAACAATACTAATCGTAACAACCGCAATATTAAGAAAGACGTGTTGCTTGTCTTTCTTTGGGTTCGGAGCGACAGGGCCGACCTCATGTTCAATCCTGCCACTGCGGGAACCATCCTACAACACACGTTCGGAAATTGGTTCCTCTCTCTGAGGCTGAGCTCCTGCCCGCATTGTTCAGCATCCGGGTCAATGCTTGCACGGACCTGAACATCCCACGCAGCAGGAAAGGGACCAGCAACCTGTTGCTGCACCTGCACCGTTTAGGCCAGGCTTCCTAAGCTCCCCTGCAGTGGATAACCCTTATCTCGGACTGAAGGTCACAAGAGTGGCCACGTCCACGCTGATGGCAGAACCTAAACCATTAAAGGTGATATTTCCAAACCTTGAACTGCAAACTTCTGAGTTGCCTTCAACACCCCCCCTCCCCCCCCTGGCAACCGTCCGGCTCTGAAAGGGTTTAGGGTTTAGGGTTTAGGGCTTCGGGTTTAGGGTTTAGGGTTTAGGGCTTCGGGTTTAGGGTTTAGGGTTTAGGGTTTGGGGTTTAGGCACCCTTGACTCTTACACGATTGAGCCCAACAGCTGGGACACCCGACTGGTTGCGGTCGAAAGCGCTGAAGATCAGCTTCCCTCCCGCTTTCCACACGGAGCCTCGGCGGGGGGGGGGGGGGTTTAGGGTTTAGGGTTTAGGGTCTAGGGTCTAGGGTCCAGGGTCTGGGGTCTAGGGTTTTGAAATTTTGGGTTTTGGATTTAGGGTTTAGGGTTTCGGGTTTGGGGCATCGGGTAGCTTTGTTTCTCGGTTCGGGCTTCGAGGCCCTTAGGTAGATGCAGTTCTGGCTCGAATGCTGTGTTTCCCTGCAGCTGTTGGGGGGATCGGAACAATCGGAAGTAAACACAATGCTCATCCCTCAGAGCCCGAAAAGGCCTAAACACATGAGCCCTCAACCCGAAAAACTTATAAAGGCCCAAGCTCCAGGGGTCAAGCTCCCCGAAACCCGAAACCCGAAACCCAAACCCCGAAACCCGAAACCAATAACACCTAAACCCTGAACCCTAAACCCTACACCGCCGGCGCCTTCCTCCACAGCCGATGCCGACCCAGACAGCTCCTCGAAGAGCTCCCGGTCGCCCTCTCAAGTGGCGCTCAAGGTGGGTTTTAGGGTTTTAGGGTTTTAGGGCTTTAGGGCTTTAGGGTTTTAGGGCTTTAGGGTTTCAGGGTTTTAGGGTTTAGGGTTTTTTAGGGTTTAGGGTTTAGGGTTTAGCGCAGCTTCCAAGGATTTTGAAGCTTACAGGGCTTGTCATGGAACGCTGTCTGCGTGCACCCTGGGGAGTTCCGACAACATGGCGCCTCCGGCCCAAACTCCCGCAGGCAAAGCTGAACCGCATTCGGCATGATCTGCAAGACCTGCGTCGAGTCGAGGGGGTTGGGGCTCACACCCCTTTCCCTCCAAATATCATGTCCCCATCCTAGATTCATACAGGTACCGATAGGGCCCCTACTGTTTTGTACTTTTTTCCGGCTGTTCCTTCAGGGCGAAGGGCCCATGATGATCATCCCAAGGCCTCTCCATCTTGTTCTTAGTATGGAAGTCGGAAGTTCGGTCCCCTTTATATTGCAACCCTTTCAAAGGGTTGTATAGCATCCCTGACTTCCGAATCCCCTACGAAGAACACCAAGCCGACTTAAGAAGGAAAGCGCCTCGCCGCAGTTGACTTCCTCGTTGCACGGGCAGTCGGGGGTGACCTTCGGACACCAAAGGCGGTTTTCCCAGCAACTCGGCTCAATCATTGCGCACGTCTTGCACCTGAGATTTCCGAACTTGAACCCCTCCTTCCACCCTGTAGCACAAGCCGCCAAACATGTTTCAACACAAACATACCTACAAGGTCCTTCTGTTGGGTGGGCTCTTTTTTTTCCGGGGGAGGGGATCCTAGGGTTTCAGGAATGCAGCTTCCGCGATGTGAGAAGGGGGCGGCAGCTCTAAATCCTTTGAACCTAAAAACTTGGGATGTTCCCGCGTATACTCACAGCCCTTGATGGGGATTGTAGTACCCCCTATTATCATCCCTATTTAGGAATGTTAGTGTAAGGAGGAACATCCCGATTAAAACCTTAAACTCCACAAAGGCGGCTAGCGGACTACCTGCGAGGTTTCGGTCGGCTGAGCATATCGATCACAGAGGCTGGGAAATAGAGCTGCTTGTAGCATTATGGGTTTTGGGTTTAGGGTTTAGGGTTTAGGGTTTAGTAAGCTCTTGAACCCAAACCCTTGAAGAACACCCAGGGCGGAGGGGTTGAGGGGCTATGGAGTGGGTTTGGGGCATCCATACGATCTGATCGACACGAGTCCCCCTGGCCAGAAAGTGAAGAACTGGTTGCAGTAGCCATTCCAAGTTCTCACCTCTTGCCGATGCCGCCCAAACCATGGCTGACATCCTTTACACCAAAATACCTGCCCTAAACCCCCTGAAGCCCTCAACGCCACCTTTTGTTCAACCCGCTTCAAACACTTTAAAAAAAACATGTACATATATATATATATATAATAAGAATAAGAATAAGAATAATAATAATAATAATAGTAATAATAATAATAATAACAATAATAATAATATTAATATTAAGAACAAAAATAATAATAGTAATAAAAGAAAAAGGAAAACTAAATAAACAACAAATAATAACAATAATATTAATTAAATAAACAAATGTATAGAAATGTAATTATATATATATATATATATATATATATATATATATAGCGACTCTCTGGGCTCCTCTCAACTCGAAGATCCAGCCTTGCATGGCTCGTTGTCCCCGCTGCCCTCTCGCCGGGTCACCTGGCGACAGCTGATCGGGAAGGTCCTGAGAAACCCAGAAGCCAACCATCCCAGAGCCGCAGCCCTAAACCCTAAACCCTAAACCCTGAACCCTAAACCCTAAACCCTAAACCCTGAACCCTAAACCCTAGACCCCAAACCTTCAACCCTAAACCCTCAACCCTAAACCCTGAACCCTAAGCCCTAAACCCTACACCCTGAACCCTAAACCCTACACCCTAATCCCTCCACCCTAAACCCCACACCCTATACCCTACGCTGCAGCCACCACCCTCCGACCTTGTCCCACCGCATCAGCTCGCGCAGGCTTTCCTCCAGTCTTACTCGGAGGAGGGGCACTGGAAGGTTAGGGCTTGGGGTTTGGGGTTTGGGGTTTGGGGTTTGGGGTTTAGGGTTTAGGGCTTAGGGTTTAGGGTTTAGGGCTTAGGGTCCCGGAGTTCGACTCCTGAACTCGGGGGCTTGATTAGGATGTCTCTGTGTGCAGCCTACACAGATACATGATATTTATTTTGGGGGGACGCTCTTTGCTCTTAGGGCCGTAGCGCTCCAGGGTCTCTAAGTTACAACTGTTCCACTGCCTCTGCGCAGCATGAGATCAAAAACGGAGCCGCCCTGGAACAGAATTTACAGAACCCTACACAAACCCTCCATAAACCCTATATAAACCCTCTTTAAGCGCTCTATAAACCCTACACAAAAACCCTCAAGAGCCCCCTACATAATCGGCAGGGGGGGGGGGGGCTTGAGGTCGAAACGAGGGGCCGCCCAAATTTTCGACGCCACGCTTGTGCAGGAATCTGAAGGGGTTCAGGGTTTGGGGTTTTAGCGTTTACGGTTTCGGGTGTTCAAGAATGCTTCTGATTTCCCCATGGAGCTCTTCCCAAGCGCCGCGGGTCTACCTCCCTAATTCTGACCGAAAGTTGACAGACTAAGAAGCCCAAAATCGAAGAAAGAAACTAGACTCGAGTCTCGTAGCTCAGGGACGATCCGAAGCCCCCGTTCATGGAACCACATGTGGATCCCGATACGAAAGATCCTAAGCCCCTCAGCTATAACTTTCTAGCAGGGGCCGTTTGGTCATTGATTCTCAGGGTCGTAGTCGAGATCCTCAAGCTGGTTCGGGGTTCTGACCTTAGATCCTTCCACCGAAAAAATTAGCAGTCTCCCACTCTGCTCCGCTGAGAGGCTACAGAGCTTAGGCACTCCTTGTCGCAGCCCTCATTGACGTGCTTGCCCTGCTTGCGCATCTCGCGCAACCTGCCCCAACGGCGCGCGGGTCGGAGCTCAGGCTTCAACACCATCCTAAAAGCCCCTAGCTTGGGGGATGTTCCCCCATATACTACTTACTAAGAGCTCCTTCATAGGGGTAATCCCTAACATGGACGGCTAGTGTAAGGGGGAACATCCCTTCTCAGAAGTTCCGGCAGCCCCTAGTGCCCAGCTTTGCCGTCCTGCGTTGCACTTGCTGGGATTTCGGGACATCCGCTTTGGGTTTAGGGTTTAGGGTTTAGGGTTTAGGGTTTAGGGTTTAGGGTTCAGGGTTTAGGGTTTAGGGTTTAGGGTTTAGGGTTTAGGGTTTAGGGTTTAGGGTTAAGGGTTTAGGGTTAAGGGTTTAGGGTTTAGGGTTTAGGGTTTCGGGTTTCGGGTTTCGGGTTTGGGGTTTGGGGTTTGGGGTTTCATGGGGTTTGGGGTTTGGGGTTTGGGGTTTGGGGTTTGGGGTTTGGGGTTTGGGGTTTGGGGTTTGGGGTTTGGGGTTTAGGGTTTAGGGTTTAGGGTTTAGAGTTTAGGGTTTAGGGTTTGGGCTGCAGGTTGTTTTGCATGTATTGCACTCTGCTGCACGAAGGGCTTTGTGGGCTCCCGCTCCAACCGTCGGTGTCGCTTGGCTGTCTTCAAGCTGCTCAAAAAACGAACCTGGGCTCTCGGATGATATTGGGAGAGCAGCCCTCAAAAGAGAGGCAAGTGAAGAACTCGTGGCGAAAGTCTCGTACCATACCACGGGCACCACCATTCTCCAGCTACCCGCAATCCCCACCGAGCAACGAGCCCACCAGGCGGCGCCGAAGGAATGACACGGATGTCAGGGTCGACTGCAGGGACTGGGCTGCTGTGGCATCGAGACTTGAAACTGCCGCACCTGAAGCCGTCGAGGGTGTGGGACCCGGGATGGTGGGTTCGGAGGGGTCGAGGAAGCCGAAGATCTGCTGACAGACATTCTGAGGCAGGTTCCAGGTTGTCATGGCATGATACATCCAAATGAACTGTGCCACCAGCCCCTCCTTTCGATCCTGCCGGAGTCTGTACACACCTCGGAAGGCCCCTTAAAGCCCTCTGAAGAACTAACTATTACATCTGATCCCCTTAAACTCAATAAGGGGGGGAAAAAAGTTCCAATCCATGATCCTCTTAAACCGAAGAAGGGAAAGTATGAAAATATCCCCAGGGCCTAGACACTTAGGACCTTCGCCAGGCTTTTGTGGCCTTCGCGGTGCCGGACTAGGTCGATGAGCGCCTCAAATCGTGGCTGGGAGGAGCTTTCCCTTCGCCACCGAGTGTCCTTGAGGGACTTTGGGAGGTTTGCCCTTTTACGAACAGTCCTTAAGAGGGATGATCGCACCACCCCAGTAGAATCCGTAGGACTGTTCGTATAAGGGGGAACATCTCAAAAAAGCTTTCAGGTCTGGATTCAACTGCATGGAAGAACTATCAGAAGACCAGGGCATCCCTTCTACCGACATTGTGGGCTTTGGATTATGAAGCGGAGCCTTGCGTTTGAGGGTTTTGGGGTCTAGGTGTAGAGTTCGGGGGAGGGGGGTGAACAATCTGACATGTCCTCCAAGATCTTCATCAGGAGCGAATGCCGGTCGAGACGCAACAAGAAATATCTTGTAAAGAAAGAATACACGAAGGTCTGAAAACTCTGCTGCATCATACCTCGGCAGGTGATGGGGACGTCAGCTTCCGTTCGAGGCTTCTTTCTGCTCTTGTATCTTGCTGATGCTACCGTCGAATCGTAGAAGGCTTGTGCCGTCAACATATTTTCCAACTTGGGCCAAGCTTCCTTTTGTAAACGACGCTTGTGTCACAGCAGCCTTTATGCAAGCAGCCACTGCATAGAGCGAGATCAGCACGGTCGGGAGAGTATGGTTGTCCAACACAATGAAATAAATACCAAAATATCCGGCAACATTGAGGGTCAAACTCTCCGCAACATCTTGCCCAGAACCCCAGATCAGTAAAGGGATGAGATGGAAGACGACAATGCCGTAGAAGATCGCCATCCTTACAAACTACTGACTCAGGGTAACTTTGAACAGCTCCTTCCTTCAAGGCGGTCGACTCTTAACGATTCTTTGGCTTACATACTTCCCGGGCGTTGCTGCCACAAAAGCCATGTAAGAATCCCAAGTCAAGCCTGACAGCTTACTTTGGCATCCTGGGTTCTGAAGCAGGTTGCTCGCCCGGGCATCATCCCAAAAATGCGGGAAGTCGTCATCGAGTCGGTGCCGGAGCCGCCAAGAGATGACGAGGGCTGCCGGTAGAAGGATGGCTTGGAGGATGACCAAGGAAGGCGAAAAGTGGACACCGATCTGAAACAGGTTCTGCAGGGGAATCCTGCGCTGCTCTCCCTAAACCCTAAACCCTAAACCCTAAACCCTAAACCCTAAACCCTAAACCCTAAACCCTAAACCCTAAACCTTAAACCTTAAACCCTAAGCACTAAGAGCTCAGCTTGCCATGGTCCGGGAAGTACAGCGCAGCGCTGCTACAGGCAGTTTAGAAACACAGCGAATGTTTGTTTGTGTATACACAAACATAAATGAATAAATGAATAAATGAATAAATATATATATATATATATATATATATATATGCAAATAGATATTCTTCTGTGCGCCATGCAAGTGTTCAGGTTGTTTACGGTTGTTGTTTACCTATTCGTGAACAATCAATAATCATGACCTTCCCTGAGATTAGAATTGCAGCCCCCCCAAATTGGGCTCCCACTACGGCCAAGCGGCACGATGATGGTGACCAGCAAGGTTCCAAGCCGTGCGCGATGCCGTCCCGCGGCGGAGGACTGAGGCACGCGAAGTAACTCATACATGTATCGTCCACACCCTTGCACGCGCCGCAAGAAGGCGTCCGTGAGGCGGCGCGCCATACCACAATCAACAGGTTGCAGGGCACCTGTGCCTACTTGTAAGAAGTGAGATAAACCTTGCGCCCGACCTGTGTCCGAGCAGTTCACAACTGCAACAGCTAGCTAAACAATCCAGTGTGGTCGGGCAGAAGGAAACATGGCACTGCTTGAAATCCATTTGACCATGATGCTGCTAGCACTAAACTTCACTAAACCTTACCAACACGGGGCTCGCTGGCCATGCTGCCTTTGAGGTTCTCGAGCTGAGGGGTCCAGTGTTCAGATGCGGGCCCTACCAAATAAGCCCTTTTTTTTGCATCCAGGTCTCTTGCAGCCAGCACCCTAAACCTCAAAACCCTAAACCCTAAACCCCTGGCAGGTTTTGGGTGGTTGGCCCTAACTCATAGCTATCCCAAGCACACAAGGCCCTCAAGGATGCAACAGACCCTTTAGCTATCCCGAGGCCTGGTGTGGATGTAAGGTAAAGAGCCCTCAGGGCTTACCCGTGGTAAGGTCTAATCAAAATGGGGATAGATGCCAGAACTCATGCATGTCGGCACATACTCATACTCAAGAAGGCACGCCAACCGACTTGTGAGGAAGACGTGACCTGAGAGCACTTCGGGAAGGAAAGCTGGACGAGATTCAATGGGCTTTGCAGCGGTGTCGGTGTCACCTTTGAAAGGATGAACTTGGGACCCGATATGAGCCCTAAACCCCAGCTACATGGTTCGAGCTCTCAGCTACAAGCTCTCAGGGGTCATCTCGGATTTCAAAGGGGATATCCTGGCAAATCTTAACCCGACAGGGTCTCTGCATGACTGACTGGGCCCTTGCATGGAAGTTTATAGAGGTTTAGAAAACAACCCCGCAAACACCTGAGCTCGAAACTCGAAAGCCCAAACCCCGCCGTGGCCTCTCTTCAGCAAACTCGATGTGCTCCCTCAGGGCAGCTCTGAGGCTCAGGAATCATGCGAAGATCCCAAAGCCCTGTCATCCTCTGGCTTTGCTTCTGAAAACTTCTTAGGCCTTTTTGGATTCATGGTTTAGAAGCCCATTGATTGGGCTGCTGCTAAGGAACTTAGGTAAAGCTACCGCTACAGGACACCATATTGGCTACTGAGCTGCTATATGTCCATGTTCTGGCTTCGAGTTTCGATGAGAGCTCCGTATCAGCAACCCTGTGCAGGGATGATACCAAATTCCAGATTTGCTGAGGTCAAGACCGATCCACACCGGCTTGCTTGGACTTCGTCACCTAAAGCGATTTCAACGCAGGGCCTTTGCAGCACTTTGGGTCTGTTCGCATGAGCTTCGGCACCCCACATTGATTTTACAATGCTGTTCGCCCTACAAGGCATGTGCAAGAAGGAGCATCTGCCGTTAACAGCTGGGCCCCCTTTGAACCCCAACAATCGATGAACAAGCCGAAAGTGCCCTACACCAAGTAACCCTAAACCCTAAGCCCTAAGCCCTAAGCCCTAAGCCCTAAACCCTAAACCCTAAACCCTAAACCCTTAGGCCCAGCCTGTGCCAGCAGCATGTCGTAGTCGGCATCCTCCTGAACTTCTATGGTTTGGGAGTTGGAGCTGGTGCTTACAGTGGACCCTGCACTTAAGCCCTGCAACTCATCCCTCCTCGGTCCTAAACCGTGTAAGGTTTAGGGTTTAGGGTTTAGGGTTTAGGGTTTAGGGTTTAGGGTTTAGGGATTAGGGATTAGGGTTTAGGGTTTAGGGTTTTTCGTTTAGGGTTCAGGGTTTCGGGTTTAGGGTTTCGGGTTTCGGGCTTCGAGTTTAGGATTACAGGGTTTCGGCTTCCCTAAATCCCAAACCCTAAATGTCCCAAACAAAAAACTGGCAAACCTAACAGGGACAGGCGGTCCTGTGCATCCCGTAGGGCCTGGTACTGTAAACAGCGCCTCGGCCACGGTTGGCACGCAGGGTTTGGGGTTTGGGGTTTAGGGTTTAGGGTTTGGGGTTTGGGGTTTCGGGTTTGGGGTTTCGGATTTTATGTAGGGAATAGAGGGCTTTTCTTTGCTCTCTATCCGAGCCGCCTCTTCTCTTGGACGGAGCAAAAATGATGACTCAGGAGGGAAGCGCAGGGCTTTGGAATAAAGGGGTTGAGGGGTTTAGGGGTTTAGGGGTTTAGGGGTTTAGGGGTTTAGGGGTTTAGGGGTTTAGGGGTTTAGGGGTTTAGGGGTTTAGGGGTTTAGGCTTAGGGGTTTAGGGGTTTAGGGGTTTAGGGAAAAGGGCTGAGGGTTTAGGGGTTTAGGGAAAAGGGCTGAGGGTTTAGGGTTTAACTCTAGGGTTAGTTTTTCTGGTTGTTCAGAATTCGTGGCTTGGAGAATTGGGTTGCGGATCAAGAGCAGAGGCTACCATCATGCAGATACGCAGCAAGCAAGAAGGTTGGTATCTTAGCTGACTTCCGGAGCACCACAAAAGGAAACAACATGTCTCAAAGGGCTTCGAGTTCAGAATGGTTCAGGAGATCTGCGACCGTCCTCTAAGCTTTCACAGGCCTGAGGGCTCTGGGCTTAGGGTTTCCGACGCTCAGGGCTTAAGGGTTTTTTGGAGGATTTTGGGATTTGAGGTTCAATGTGGTCCCTAAGCCCCAAAACCAGCAAACTGGGGTTCGGGGCTTCGGATTTCCGCTTGTAGGGAAGGCCCTGGATCGATGATGACGATTGCAGGCTTTTCAGAGCCACAAATCCAGGACTTCTTCGAACGTGACCAAGACAGAACGAGACTGCATGCGTGAATGCTGTTTACTGGCCAACTGCATAACACGTATCCACAAAATCAGACGACACCAGAACTGCCACAACCAAGTAAGGATTCAGCATCAACCAGTAGACTGCTAGTCACTAAGCCGCCAACCCTCAACCCTTTTGCAACCCTCAACCCTCAACCCTAAACCCTAAACCCTAAACCCTAAGCCCTAAACATCCCCGATAACCCGTCAGACTTCAGAGTTTCGGGTCAAGCGGGCGTTGTGGACTCTGCCCCTCTTGGGAGCCAAACCGAAGCTCAGTCTCGGTGGCATGCCGCAGGTGAACCTGTCATTCAGGAAAGAGGGTTTAGGGTTTAGGGTTTAGGGTTTAGGGTTTAGGGTTTAGGGTTTAGGGTTTAGGGTTTAGGGTTTAGGGTTTAGAGTTTAGGGTTTAGGGTTTAGGGTTTAGGGTTTAGGGTTTAGGGTTTAGGGTTTAGGGTTTTTTTTGCCACCCGCTTAGCTGACCTCTCGGAACCCCTGCAGGGGAAAGTCTGGATACTCTGTATACGTTCGCCTTTGGCTACTTGAAATCACCATAGTTCTCAGCGAAAAAACCAAGAGTCCCAAGCTGGTACTTCGGATCCACCCGAGCGAAGCGCTAACCAAACATGCAATAAAGAGCAACACCCAGACAGAAAGCAACCTGCTACAGGACTCTGATGCTCTGGAGTAGCCACTTATGCTGCATGCAGATGTACCCCAACAAACCACAGTCCTCAAACATACCAAAACAACCACATCTCTCCATGCAGCGAAGCAGCAGGGTACAACTAGTCAGCTAGGTTTAGGGTTTAGGGTTTAGGGTTTAGGGTTTAGGGTTTAGGGTTTAGGGTTTAGGGCTTAGGGCTTAGGGCTTAGGGTTTAGGGTTTAGGGTTTAGGGTTTAGGGTTTAGGGTTTAGGGTTTCGGGGCTCCCAAAGTAGACTACCGTGTGCTCCCTCCTAAAGTAAGCCCTGTCTTGGAACCCAGTCTCTGAACCCAGGCCGCCTAAACCCCCTTAACCCTTCAGGGTTCAGGGTTCAGGGTTCAGGGTTCAGGGTTCAGGGTTCAGGGTTCAGGGTTTAGGGTTCAGGGTTCAGGGTTTTGGGTTTTGGGTTTTGGGTTTTGGCTTGCAGGGGCCGTATGGGGTCACACCACAAGCTCGAGTGCACACGACCTACTGGGACCCTCGGTCCCGGATCGCCGTGCCCCTCAAAGTCTCAAACCCCCAGAGCCGTCAAGAAACCCGAAGAGCCTACAACCAAAGGACCTTACAGGTCCCAACCCTAGAACCCTCAATCCCTCTCCACTGCTGGAGCTCTAGAAAACCTGAGCTCCCGCTCATCAAGCAAGCATCATCAGTCCACCTTGATCTGGGGGACGTTGTCCACCGATCTTGCGCCGATGACCTGTTGGGCTTAACTCGTTTTGGGGACTCCAGAGGCTCAGCGGGCAACTCTCGGGTCGGAGGGTAAACCCTAAACCTATGTTAGGGCTCAGTGGTCTTAGGGTGTTGGGGAACACTTAGGGTTTGGGGTCTTAGGGTCTTCGGGTCTTGGGGAACGCTTAGGGTTCAGGGTCTTAGGGCCGTCTTAAGATTTTGGGGAACACTTGAATTCTCAGGGTCCTAAGGTTTTGTGGGGGAACACTTGGAAAGAAAACAAAAAAAAGCATGCCTCGAGGTCGGCAGCTTTTCCCTCTGTGGGCTTCTCCCCCTGACCTCGCCAGTTCCACCTGCAAGAGTTTCGACTCTCGCACTCGCACGAAGCAGGCAAGGAGTAGATTTAGGGTTCAGGGCTTGGGGTTTTCGACTCTCACACTGGCAGCCCTTTTGGGGCTCATAAAAACCTGCATCCTGTGTAGAACTGACGTCCACTGAGAGGTGCAGAACTCCCCCCCCCCAAACCATGATTCCAAGCAGCAATAGTCTCTGAAAAAACATCACGGTCAGGCGCGTCGTAGATTTGTTGCTTTTTATTGGGGGTGCAATTCCAACAAGGTCCACAATAAAGCCAACGGATTCGAGTTGGCATGGCGTAGCTTCGACATGCTGTTAAAGGCTTCAAAAGAACTCACAATGAAGTATCTGGATAGAGTCTACAACTCCGGGTTGGGATTACGAGGGTTGAAGTGTGTGTTTTAACTTGCAGGTTTCTTTTGCATAGCAGCCTCGCAACAGACTGCAGGCCTGCAAAACGGTCCATCTCTATCCTCAAACCTCAAGCTCTGGCCCAAGCCTCGCAACCCTAAACGCTAAACCCTAAACTCCAAACTCCTAAACCCTAAACCCTAAACCCTAAATCGGCAAACGAGCAAAATACAAAGGGCTACGGTACCTTCAGGTCAGATTCAGATCACTAGGGGCGGCCAGCTCTGCACTTGTAATATGGGGGGGGCCTTAACTATTAGAATAGCAGGGTTTAGGGTTTAGGGTTTAGGGTTTAGGGTTTAGGGTTTAGGGTCTAGGGTTTAGGGTTTAGGGTTTAGGGTTTAGGGATATTATAGTACATGTACAAAGGGGCCATAAGGGAATACTATTAGTTATTCCGACCCCTATAGTACACAAAACCAACCGGCACTACCCGCCGCTCTCCAGATCCAGGATTTAAGGCTCCTAGAATCTGCAAAAGCTCACAAGCTTCAGGATGCAAAGGCTGCTGTTTGCAGTGCAAGGGTTTTGCTTGTCCTTGTTTCCTTTTGTTTTGACTTCAGGGTTGCCTTTTGGTTGGTGTACGTCGCCATCTTACGGCTAGCACAGGGCACTTCCCTTTCCAGACAGCCGCAAACGCCTAAACCTTCAACAGAAAGCAGCCGCAGTGACAAATATTGCCAAGAGAAACCAAGGAATTATGAGGAATCAAAACAAAAGTGGGCTTAAGCTAGGGCACAAACTATGCTGTCTTGGGCGGCGACAGACTTCACAAGAGTGCAAGGTAAAGATGGAACTGAGCCTGCGGCTTTGGGGCAGACAACGCAGTGTATCTCCACTTGCCTTTGCTGTAGACCTGAGCCAGCGCAATGTCCAACTTGGGGGACCAACGCAATAATTTACCTGCACCCCTGAGCCCTGAACCCTAAACCCTAAACCCTAAACCCTAAACCCTAAACCCTAAACCCTAAACCCCGAGCCTCCGTCAACTCCGAAGACAGGATCGGAAGCTTCGGCAATAAACCCTAGACCCTTTTGCAGCAGGACTCCTGGCCACTGCCTGCCTCGCACCCTAAACCCTAAACCCTAAACCCTAAACCCTAAACCCTAAACCCCGTGGGCGCGCGGCGAAGTTGCTTCCCTGGTCATTGTGGGCGACTGCGAAGGGGACGGGATCGAAGTCCTCACCAGCAAAGCTCAAGAGCATTAGCAGAAGCTTTGGCATGGGTTCCTATAGACTGGGCCTTATAAAACCCCAAAACCCAAGACCCAAAACCTAAAACCCTAAACCCTAAACCCTAAACCCTAAACCCTAAACCCTAAACCCTAAACCCTAAACCCTAAACCTAAACCAACCCTAAAAAGGACTGAAATCGGGGCCTTACACACCCGAAGCTCCCAACTTCCCCCATGATGTCGTGTAGGTTTGGGCTTTAGTGTTGTTGGTTGACTAGCTAGGACTGTAAGGCTTAGATGAAAGTGTATTTCCGTAGGGTTTTTCGCCACCGGCCTAGCGACCTCGCACCACAACGCAGGCTGCTAAGCGGTTCATCTATATCCTCGAAAACCATCGACTGACCGATGCCCACTTTGACTGTGCTGACTCCTGAACTGCACTGCATGTTTGCGCACTCGTATGGTCAGAAGTCCGCAGAAGGAATCAACCTACCACCCGTGCAGATGCTCAAAAAAAAACCTGACCACCGGAGGACCCGACAACAGCCAGCCCTACAAATGCGTAACCAAACCTCTAGAAACCTCTAGATGTAGTGAGGGCTGTAGGGCTTGGTTAAACTGTTTGAAGTGGTGGTCTCCTAGCCACAAGCAGATACCTCAAAGAAGCCACAAGCTCTGCAAGAGACCCGCCGCAAACCGGCTTTCATTCAAGAGAACCTCACAGAAATGCCACAGGCGCGCACGCTCACTCTACTTGCTCTGTCTCTGCATTGACATACACTGTGTGCGGAACTTTCCATCTTCCTCCCCACCCACCCTTATTTCATCTTGACGAGTTTCTGTTCGGATCTAAGAAAGGGTTTAGGGTTTAGGGTTTAGGGTTTAGGGTTTAGGGTTTAGGGTTTAGGGTTTAGGGTTTAGGGTTTAGGGTTTAGGGTTTAGGGTTTAGGGTTTAGGGTTTAGGGTTTAGGGGTGTAAAAGGTGCTAGGGGCCTCATGTCGGCCCTGTATCCTGAGCCCTCTTGAACTCTCCGAATCCGAAGCCCTCTGAGCCCTCTGAGCCTCAACCCAGGCCCCACTCGGAGCCCCTTTCTGGCTGGCTCTTAGTAGGGAATGTCCGGGAATGAGGGAATGAGGTAAGGGAATGAGGTACCAAACAAAAATCCCCAAACCCTAAACCCTAAACCCGAAAACGTAAACCCTAAACTAGGAAAGAGGGGTTTTGTCCCAGCACTCCTCGATCCGCAGTGAGCCCTTCGTCATGGGCCCGCGAGCCGCCTCACGTGAACAGCATGCGTCTTTTGCTTCAGCCCGATTCCCTCAAGAGGAACCCCTAAACTCTCGTTGTTGAGGGTTTAAAGTATGGTGTTTCGGCACCTGGAATCCCCAAAGCCAAACTAAGCATCACAAAAGCCTGGGTTTTTGCCGTCATTTTGGGGAATGTTTTGAAGGTGTGTCCGGATGAAGCTTTGGAGCCATGCCAGGCGACCCCCTGCATGTACGCCCCACACGTGTAAAACCAGCAGGGCCGGTAGATGGTCCCACCACCCAAGTTGTGTCCACAAATACCTATGACCTACAGCAGTTGCTCATGCTTAGTTTCACTTGAGGGCCAGCCTCTAAATGCGACCTGCAAACCACCCGGTTCACAAGAAGATCCCAGGACCAAAGCTGTCCGACCCCCCCTCGCTCTGGGCATCCCGGCAGAGTTGGAGAGGTAGGTGGCGGTGGACCTTCAGGCTCAGGGTTTCTTTTAGTGTGGTTCTTATGGTTCTGTTGGTTCTTGGGGCATTTTGGCATCTTCCCACGTCTTGAGACCGCTCGGCTTGCTTGAAAAGACCAGGTGGCCAAGGCTCGCACGTCTTGCCCGCCTTGCACACATCCGGAAGCCCATGGCCCTGTTAGCTCAAGCGACCAGATGCGAAGGACGAGATCTTCGGACACTTCCATAAATCAGGTGCCGTGCCTCGTGTTTTGCTCCGCCGACCTTCCATGAACAAGGGGGTTTGGAGGGCATGGAGGGCTGGGTAGGCTTGGGTAGGCTTGGGTAGGCTCGGATAGGCTTGTCCAACGCTGTGTTGTGAGGTGGACCAGGAGGACCCTTTGATGCCCCCACGCGGAGAGGCTTGTAATCATGGAATGCAGACAAAGCCCCTTCCATCAAGAAAACCCAGAAGGCACATGGCAGACCAAAAACTGCACATCACCTGCCTGGATCTTGACGCCAGTGTCAAACTGCACGTCGACCGTTACTTTGAGAATGGGCGGACAGGACGGCTGGAAGACCTCGGCCCACGACCCGCGCTTTCAGGGCTTCACTTCCCCAACGTTACGGTTTCTAAGGGTTTAGGGTTTAGGGTTTAGGGTTTAGGGTTTAGGGTTTAGGGTTTAGGGTTTAGGGTTTAGGGTTTAGGGTTTAGGGTTTAGGGTTTAGGGTTTAGGGTTTAGGGGGTTTAGGGTTTAGGGTTTAGGGTTTAGGGTTTAGGGTTTAGGGTTTAGGGTTTAGGGTTATCCTCGATGTCATCCATACCATTTCGGTTCACTCTCCCTTGTGCATGGGGATTCTACATGCCAGGGACAGGCATCCTCCGATCCGAGGCCTTCTGGTGCAGGACCATGAGCATCTTCTCCATCATGGATGTTGCGCATAGCCATAGCCATCCCCCCCCCCCCCCCCCACAAAAACCGGAGCTTTCGGCTTCGTGGCACAATAGAAACTGGTCCATGCCAAAAGAGACAGGCCCCCTTCCTGATCAGAGAAAGAATACGCACGGCACAGGCTGTCCTGCTTCGTATCACGAAAAGTCCCCCCTGCGCGCCCTAGGCTCTGTAAGTCTGTCAGAGCATGGCCGAAAGGTTCAAAGGCTCGAGGAGTTTAAAGGGTCTGCAGCCGAACTACAGCTTATTTCCCCAAACTCCCCCCCCCCCCCCACAAAACCCCAACCCCCAAAGCCCTCATCCCTGATTTCCCTCCCCCGGCCTACCTAACCCCTAAGGCTCCGAGAACTCTCATTTAAGGGTTTTTGGGCCCAACCCTAAACCCTAAACCCAAAGACCTTGTTATATCAGCTTTTTGCGGCTTTTTTGAGCCTGAGGGAACCCTGTGCTCGAAAGCTGTGTCCCGGGCGGCGCCGGTCTTCGCCACTAGGGATCCCAAGGTCTGCGCGCGAAAGATCGACTTTCCTGGGACATGTTTGGGGTTTAGGGTTTAGGGTTTAGGGTTTAGGGTTTAGGGTTTAGGGTTTAGGGTTTAGGGTTTAGGGTTTAGGGTTTAGGGTTTAGGGTTTAGGGTTTAGGGTTTAGGGTTTAGGGTTTAGGGTTTAGGGTTTAGGGGAAATGTAGGGCTTCTCTGCCCACCGGCACAGCTGGATATGCTCACTCAGAAACAGATGTGAAGGGTGTTGGAGCTTGGGGGCTTAGAAGGTGCGATCAAACTTTAGGGGGGCCGAGGACAGCGCTTACATCCGCACGTGATCTTTGCGCTAGCGGGCAATCACTCAAAGCTTACTACAGACCGCACGTCCCTAACCTCTGAGGATAGCCAAAAACCATAGCATCACTACAAATTGTACCGGCCTCTCCTGTGCCAGCTTTGGGAGTTTCGAAGCTCACAGACAAATGGGGGTTTCCGAAATTAAGGCTACCTTACATAGGGGCCCCCTTTCGTAAACCCCCGGCAACTGTCCCCAAGGCCCGAAGATGATTCCTCTGAGACAAACAAGAGAAGTTTTCATCCTGCACGAATAAGCGACCATTTGGGGGGGGGGGGGGGGGGGGTTACCGAAAATAGGGGGCACCCTGCTTTGGAGGCTCCAGCATTTCTCTCTACCTCTCTCAACAACTGCGAGGAAGAAGATGAGCTAGTGCAAACTCAGCAGGCCCAGGCTAAGCCAAGAGATTAAGGACTTTCAGGGTTGCCACATGCTCCCTTCAGTCATTTGGGCCCTTGAATGGGACCTCTCTTATGGCCCTTGTATACCCTGCAGCATACAACCCAGAGGCCCATACCTAGAGAAGCACAGCGAAGATGCAAAGCTATCAAGTTTTTGGGGGTCAGGGTCTCTCGGGGATCAGGCTTTGGGATGTTGTGCAGCGTCGGATTTAAGGTTAGTTTTAGGCTCTGTGGGCCTTCGGATTCAGGGAATGTTAAGGGGCTGATCCCAAATGCGGTTTAGGGTTTAGGGTTTAGGGTTTAGGGTTTCGGGGTTTAGGGTTTAGGGTTTAGGGTTTAGGGTTTAGGGTTTAGGGTTTAGGGTTTAGGGTTTAGGGTTTAGGGTTTAGGGTTTCGGGTTTCGGGTTTAGGGTTTAGGGTTTAGGGTTTAGGGTTTAGGGTTTAGGGTTTAGGGTAGGGTTTAGGGTTTAGGGATGTTTAGGGTCTAGGGTGCGAGACGTGGCTGCCTTTGTGATGCTCACCCTGTGCGGAGATGGCAACCTTAGCCCCCGACCTTTGGGAGTGGAGGCTGAGGAGCAGGTCGATGAGCCTCCACTCGCCATCCACGTGAATTTAGAACTCTGAAAGAGCCGATTACCTTCCCCTGGTCCGCTGGGTTTAGGGTTTACGTTTAAGGAAAGGGCCAAACCACCTAGATTTCTAAGACTCCCAGGTCTGGGCTTGCAATTCATGACAGCTCGTGACGGTGCCAGCCTAGCCCAAACACTCCTCAGGCTAAGCAACCAGGGTTCTGGGCATGCGGAGGCACAGGGTCTGAAGGCTGCGAATGCAGTGTTAGGGTTGCACTGCGGGTCATTATTCGGTTCTAGCATCCTTTTTTGGCCTTGGGTGGCCTAGACGTCAGGGCTGAATGCCTGAGACCGAGGTTCTCGCAGAGGTGGAATGGTTATGAGTCATGAGGCTTGATGGCTCCTTGCTTTCTCTCGCCCATTGCGCTGAAACATCAGCTACTCCAGGACATCCCGACTGCCATCAGCTTGCCCGACCGACATCGGAATGAGCGCCTCTTTTGGAGACGAGACCCTCCCCCGTGAATCTCGGCGAAGGTTGGACACAGAGGTGCACCGTCGAACAATCTTCCTCAAGCGTGAAGAATGAACTCCGTACTTGAAGCATACCCAAAAAATGGACGCACAAAGAGATTCAAGGGCCTCTCTTCAACTTAGTTGTGGGCACCTCACAATGTCCGACCTTTCGTGCTGTACATCCAGGTGTAAATTGGAAACTTTCGCTGCCCATAGTCGGTTCCACAAGTCAAATCTGGAAAATACAGACTCCAACCCTAACCTCTTTTTCTCAACTTACCCGTTTAAACCCCGCACCCTAAACCCTAAACCAACCCCCAAGACGTTCTACAGCCCGCAAGCCCTATGTACCCTATTTTGCCACATGCATTCTACTCGGCATTAAGCTCCAAGCAATACACACTTGGGCAGGGAGCGCCTGGGACCCCATGTGCAACTAAAGCTAGCTTCCGTTGCGGGCCGTGCTGCCGACGTATCTACTGTGGTCTCCGAAGCAGACAAGATGCTGTGATATTGCTATCTGAAGCCCCCATCACACCACACCCTGAACAGGTAGGAGGAAAGTAGACTGGATTGCCAAGCATGCCGCCGGCTTCTGTGAATTAAGGCAGCCTGGGGAAGCAGATACAAAAAGTATAACCATATATATATATATACATATATATATATATACACTTGTATATGGAATTTATATTATATATATATATATATGCAAAGACACGGGTCCTGCAAATTCTCAGGGATGTTCGAGCCGTTTTGGGGGGCTTGGGTTTCTCACAGGCTAAGGTTTGCAGGGATTGTGGGTCTCACGGCGCTGGCTACAAGTATTTCATCGGAGACTCGACAGACTCCAGCACCACGCTCCTTAGAGCACAGGAGGGAGATTGTCGTTGGATGACCGGGTGTAGGCATCAGCAACTTCAGGTCGATCAGGGTTTTGGAATCACAAAGTGTCCTGGATCGTCGCTACATGCGCCAGTAGTATCTAGTATGGGTGTGGTTATTGCCTTGAAGCGGTAGTCCTTGCAACTTAGCCCTTCATTGCTCCGAAAAGTATAAACCTTATGGAGCCCAATCCGGTCCGATCTCCTTGCCAGCTCAGGCACAGCACGCCGTGAAACTTTGCGCAGCTTTTGACCTGCCCACGCAAGCCGTGCCAAGGCATGGAGGAACTGGCGCTCCACGATGCTCTTTCTGGCTTATCTTAGTTGTCCAGAAACCTGGGGGAACTAAAGGTTAACCTAGCCTTTGGGAGTCTAAGGGGGTCATAAGGGGATTATATTACCCCAAAAAAGGTTAAAGGTTACCTACTCTACTACTAGGTTATACAGCACAAAACTAGTTTTGATCACCTATGGCTGCATTATCCTCAAGAAGCAGCACATCACTCAGCCCCAGAAACACCGAAAGCACGGGCAGCAGGGATGATCCCCTTACCACCCAGCCGCTTCGCGAAGCAGCAACAAAAACATTGCGAGCACGACCATCAGCAGCATCCTGGCCCTTTTGGCTCGTGATCAGCAACAAGCATCAGTCACAGCATCACCCCTCTCTGCCCAACGCAAGCACATAAAAGGTGCACCGCCAGCACCACAGGGCAGGGAGCATCAGCAGCATCATCGCCCTTCCGTTTCAGAGCTAGGTCACCCGGAAACGCCAGCATCAGGTGAAGAAGCACAAACACGGAGCATGCACGGAACAGGCACCAGAAGCACCACAGGGCAGGGAGCATCAGCAGCATCATCGCCCTTCCGTTTCAGAGCTGGTCACCCGGAAACGCCAGCATCAGCCGAAAAAGCACAAACATGGAGCATGCACGGAACAGGCACAAGAAGCACCACAGGGCAGGGAGCATCAGCAGCATCATCGCCCTTCCGTTTCAGAGCTAGGTCACCCGGAAACGCCGGGATCAGCCGAAGAAGCACAAACACGGAGCATGCACGGAACAGGCACCAGAAGCACCACAGGGCAGTGAGCATCAGCAGCATCATCGCCCTTCCGTTTCAGAGCTAGGTCACCCGGAAACGCCAGCATCAGCCGAAAAAACACAAACACGGAGCCCACGGAACATGCACAAGAAGCACCACAGGGCAGGGAGCATCAGCAGCATCATCGCCCTTCCGTTTCGGAGCTAGGCCACCTGGAAACGCGAGCATCAGCTGCAGAACCACCTCGCTCGACCCGGCCGCTTCGCCAGAAGCACCACAAACACGCAGCATGAACGGAACAGGCGCAAGAAGCACCACAGGGCAGGGAGCATCAGCAGCATCATCGCCCTTCCGTTTCAAAGCTGGGTCACCTGGAAACGCCAGCATCAGGTGAAGAAGCACAAACACGGAGCATGCACGGAACAGGCACAAGAAGCACCACAGGGCAGGGAGCATCAGCAGCATCATCGCCCTTCCGTTTCAGAGCTAGGTCACCCGGAAACGCCGGGATCAGCCGAAGAAGCACAAACACGGAGCATGCACGGAACAGGCACCAGAAGCACCACAGGGCAGTGAGCATCAGCAGCATCATCGCCCTTCCGTTTCAGAGCTAGGTCACCCGGAAACGCCAGCATCAGCCGAAAAAACACAAACACGGAGCCCACGGAACATGCACAAGAAGCACCACAGGGCAGGGAGCATCAGCAGCATCATCGCCCTTCCGTTTCGGAGCTAGGCCACCTGGAAACGCGAGCATCAGCCGAAAAAGCACAAAACACGGAGCATGCACGGAACAGGCACAAGAAGCAACCACAGGGCAGGAGCATCAGCAGCATCATCGCCCTTCCGTTTCAGAGCTAGGTCACCCGGAAACGCCAGCATCAGCCGAAGAAGCACAAACACGGAGCATGCACGGAACAGGCAGAAGCACCACAGGGCAGGGAGCATGAGCAGCATCATCGCCCTTCCGTTTCAGAGCTAGGTCACCCAGAAACACCAGCATCAGCCGAAGAAGCACAAACACGGAGCGTGCATGGAACAGGCACAAGAAGCACCACAGGGCAGGGAGCATCAGCAGCGTCATCGCCCTTCCGTTTCAGAGCTAGGTCACCCGGAAACGCCAGCATCAGCCGAATAAGCACAAACACGGAGCATGCACGGAACAGGCGCAAGAAGCACCACAGGGCAGGGAGCATCAGCAGCATCATCACCCTTCCGTTTCAGAGCTAGGTCACCTGGAAACGCCAGCATCAGCCGCAGAACCACCTCGCTCGACCCGGCCGCTTCGCCAGAAGCGCCACAAACACGCAGCATGCACGGAACAGGTGCAAGAAGCACCACAGGGCAGGGAGCATCAGCAGCATCATCGCCCTTCCCTTTCAGAGCTAGATCACCTGGAAACGCCAGCATCAGCCGCAGAACCACCTCGCTCGATCCGGCCGCTTCGCCAGAAGCACCACAAACACGCAGCATGCACGGAACAGGCGCAAGAAGCACCACAGGGCAGGGAGCATCAGCAGCATCATCGCCCTTCCGTTTCAGAGCTAGGTCGCCCGGAAACGCCAGCATCAGCCGCAGAACCACCTCGCTCGACCCGGCCGCTTCGCAAGAAGCGCCACAAACACGCAGCATGCACGGAACAGGCGCAAGAAGCACCACAGGGCAGGGAGCATCAGCAGCATCATCGCCCTTCCGTTTCAGAGCTAGGTCACCTGGAAACGCCAGCATCCGCCGCAGAACCTCCTCGCTCGACCCGGCCGCTTCGCCAGAAGCACCACAAACAGCGTCAGCAGCATCATCGCCCTTCCGTTTCAGAGCTAGGTCACCTGGAAACGCCAGCATCCGCCGCAGAACCACCTCGCTCGACCCGGCCGCTTCGCCAGAAGCACCACAAACACGGAGCATGCACGGAACAGGCGCAAGAAGCACCACCAGGGCAGGGAGCATCAGCAGCATCATCGCCCTTCCGTTTCAAAGCTGGTCACCCGGAACGCAAGGGCTCAGCGTTTAAAATCCTTGATGAAACAGAAGACAAGACAGGCCGCCTTCCTTTCCCTTCGCTTCCTTTCCCTTTCAGCATCTCTCCTCTCTCTTGCTTTCTTGCTCTCTCGTCTCTCGCTCTCTCGCTCTCTCTCTCTCTCTCTCTCTCTCCCTTCTTCTTCATTCGCCCTCCCTCCCTCTGATTCTCTCCGCGCTCGCGCATCCTTCCTGCCAAATTGACAGACTCAACACCCCCTTAAGAGAAACACCCACCCGGACGCCTTCGGAGGCTTAGATTCGAAAAGCAGTCTGAACCCCCCAAACCTCGACGAGGCAACCCAATAATGCAGACTGCCCCATGCACCTCGAAGACTGCGGGTGGCTCTACCAGGATCTCCTCACATGCCATCCTACTTCTAGATTCGGGAGTAACCTAGGAATCAAAAGGTTACCCTTTTGGGTTTTAAGTGGGGAAAAAAACAGGAAACCCCAATCCTAAAAAAGCAAAAAGGGCCTACTCTCGGTCCTAGACTTTAGGGTAACCCCCGGTAGGTGGTGTTTCTTTTGGTTCACATGCTGGTGGGCTGGCGAGGATGTCATACAAAAATCAATCAAGCATGTAACAGGGATTTAGGGCTCAGGGCTACTCCTCTGCCAATCATTCCGGTGCCAGCGGATACCTGTGGTACACAATTCCCCAAAGCAGCATTTCGAGCTGAATAGGAGACGTGGAAACTGCTTGAAGTTGAAACACATCATGCACCACGTATGAATGGCTTGGGAGTACGGCGCCGAACTCCCTCATGACTCTTGCTCCACAAAGAACGGGGAGGCAACAAGAAGCCTTAGCCCAAAACCCTGCATAAAACCTGAGAACCCTAAACCCTAAACTATACACATCGGGTCCAGTTCTGATGGGATCGCCGAAAGGTCGGCGATGCGGACGCCCCGCACGTTGGTGAACTGGCAGAAGGCAATGAGCGAAGTTGACCAAAAGCTTCTGCTTGTCCAACAGCATTTGCGGTAGATGACCCCTACCTACCTCGGTAAGCCCCTTTTCTTGCACCTGCTTGGAAGGATGCTCAGCCTTTTGAAACAGGCGTCTTCTGGGATTGCAGGTTGTGGCAGCTGATCTGTCAAGGGCAAGAGGGATGGCGGGCGTTTCATGAGTGACCCACGCGTGAACGACTGCTAGGGTCTCCTGCCTGCTGCAAACCCTAAACCCTAAACACTAAACCCTAAACCCTAAACCCCAAACCTTTGAGAGGGCCGCCTGGAAAAGGATCCGATCTCCAAAGCTTTCGGCCGTGCTGTCGGAAAGAGAGACGCTGGTGAAGGCAGCGAAGGTGAGCCGGCTGCCCACTTTGAAGGTGTCGCGGTAGTTCCTTGCCACAAGGATGTGTAGGGTTTAGGGTTTAGGGTTTTGGGCTTTGGGCTTAGGGCTTAGGGCTTAGGGTTTAGGGTTTAGGCTTTAGGCTTTAGGGTTTAATTAGGGTTTAGGGTTTAGGGCTTAGGGACCACTCTTCAACTTGACTTGCATGATGCAAAGCTAGCGGAGCGATGCATAGCGATGCCATCTGAGCCCCAGTCGTGTACTTCTTCTTCAATAGAGGACTCTTTGCGACCTTGATCCCGCGGTAGGCGGGCCCACTGTAGGTGTAGGCCTTTCCCGCTTTCGTCAAGGCTTTCACTGCCTGCATGCTGGCGGCTACACGCAAACAAAATCCGCTTGGTTCGCTTAGGATGTCTCTGTCCTCATCCGCAAATATGAGGAAAGAAACATCTACGGCAATCAGTCAATGCAACAACGTACTACCCAACTTCAGCAAGCCAGCGTAGCACCATCCACCAAACTCCAAAGCCGCCACAAACCTTTCAGATCCCTGCCCCTTTCTCCAAGAGCCTGTGCCATGACCTTGAGGAAGGGTGCCTCCACGGGAGCACGCTCGAGACTGCGTGAACCCCAGCATCCAAAACAGACTTCGAAAGCTCCAACTGTGCCATTCGAATGCTAGTCTCGTGCAGAGTGTGCCTAAGCCCTGAACCCTGTATGCGAGGCCTCTCTGAAACCCTCCGCCTGGTTTGCGATGGTGCTCGGACTCCGCGAGGATGCATGGAATGGAGCATTCAACACCTCCGAGTGGAAGAACCTATGGAACTAACGATTGTATTCATGTTACTATAATGAATATGAATGTGATTCTTAACTATTCATGATAATACTTCTTATCATTAATCGTAAGATTGATAGTTATATGATTATACAATCCTAAACCCAGCTCCCTAAAGCTTGCAAAGCCGTCGGAGAGGGGGGGTTTCAAGTCCTTCAGCCCCAGGCCCGAGCCATCTTCTACTTCGGTGCGGAGTGGGCATAGGGTTTCGGGGGGCTTGAGGTTTGGGGACCTTACTCCACCGTTATCGGAGATCTTCCGCGCACAGAAGTCGCCACCTTGTAGATGGGAATCGGGTCCTGGCACGGGAGCTCAAGCTCGATCCTTTCAATCCAAGGGGTTGGATGGTTTTGGATGCCGGGTTTCGGGCCCTGTTCCGATTTCAGTCACTTGGGGTGGGGCGTTGGGGGCTTCAGGGCTGTCGCGAAATGACTGCCGCAGACGCGATGTGAGCGGATTTGGAGGAGCAGAGAATCAAGCGACTTGGGGGCTGACCCCCTAAACCCAGGAAATGCAGATCAGAAAAAATGCCGGAAGAACAACAGCACGTTGCATCCGAACATGATTGAGAAATCCCAAGGGCTGTCACCCCTAAACCCCAAGCCGTTTCGAACCTGGAAGCTGCAAACCCTAAACCCTAAACCCTAAACCCTAAACCCTAAACCCTGAACCTTGAACCCTAAACCCGAAACCCCGAATCCTCTGCGGTGTAGAGTCGAATGGCCAGGCGCTGCTGGAGGGACAGGCCCGCTGGTTTCAGGGCCTCGGGCGGGTCTCGGGCTTCATTTTCACACCACAAACGGGTTTAGGGTTGAGGGTTTGGGGTTTAGGGTTTAGAGTTTAGGGTTTAGGGTTTAGAGTGATGTTCGAGACCCAGGAGGAACCTAGGAATAAAGAGGGTAACCTTTTTGGCTTTAAGGGGATTATAGGGGAACCCCAACCCTAAAAAAGGAAATAAGGGCCCTGGTAAAATCTGAAAAAGATATACTGGTGCACTGCAAAACATATGACAATGGAATACTCATGCTTCAGATGTTTGAGCGCATAGGGCTTCGAGCTGCACATGTACAGCAAAGACCATCCGCATGTTGATGACAACGCCCCTTCAAGACTCCCACACGATTACAACCCTGGAGGCTACGAATTACGAATCCCTACGCTTTCCAGGCGCCCTTTGGCATGAAGATACCGAAAGAATGGTTTTGCCACCTGCCGTTTTTGCCTCCACTCCCCGCAGCCGGCCTTGCACTCGAACTCGTGAGCCTCAAGCATCCTACCTGGGCAGATTCTTGAGGTTAAGGGGTTTAGGGTTTAGGGTTCAGGGTTTAGGGTTTAGGGTTTAGGGTTTAGGGTTTAGGGTTTAGGGTTTAGGGTTTAGGGTTTAGGGTTTAGGGTTTAGGGTTTAGGTTAGGGTTTAGGGTTTAGGGTTTAGGGTTTAGGGTTTAGGGTTTAGGGTTTAGGGTTTAGGGTTTAGGGTTTAGGGTTTAGGGTTTAGGGTTTAGGGTTTAGGGTTTAGGGTTTAGGGTTTAGGGTTTAGGGTTTAGGGTTTAGAGTTTAGGGTTCACTGAACAAACTTTGTTGACTTGAAGACGCCCTAAAGCGTGTTGGCATATTTGAGGTTGCCGCTCTGTGCGTGGCAATTTCGTGATTGAAGTGCTGAAAAATGAGGTGGTCACTGTTTGGCAGGAGTTAAAGCGGGGTGTTGTTCAGGATTTCAAGTATTCGGACTGTTTCTAGAGCCAAGTCTCTGCACTGGTGCCCTGCACGAAGACGGCTAGGCATAACGAAACCTTTTTTGCCAATGGACTGAGGCCTATCCAACTCTGAACCCCCATTGAAAGGAACCGCGGCCCTCAACTCCTGAATCTTAGTTGTCCAGTATCGTAGGGGAACTCAAGGCTAACCTTTGGGGCTACGGCGGAATTATCATCGCCCCAAAAAGGTTAAAGGTTACCGACTCTACCACCAAGGTTACCTACTCTACTACTGAGGTTACCTGCTCTACTACCAGGCTGCCTAAACCCTAAACCCTAAACCCTAAACCCTAAACTCAGGGCCTACTTTACTACGAAGCCAGGGCCTGAGTCCCTCCATGCGAGCAGCAGGCGCATCTTGGCCTCGGGGGCCTTCCCCGGCAGGGCTTTCATCAGGCAGGGCCCCGGTCCGAAGACTGCCTCTGCCAAGGGGGTTTAGGGTTTAGGATTTAGGATTTAGGGTTTAGGGTTTAGGGTTTAGGGTTTAGGGTTTAGGGTTTAGGGTTTAGGGTTTAGGGTTTAGGGTTTAGGGTTTAGGGTTTAGGGTTTAGGGTTTAGGGTTTAGGGCTCAGGGTTTAGGGTGCCTCTGCCAGGGTGGTCTACTTAGTGGACCAGTATCCTAGGGGTAACTGAAGGCGTTCAATTTTGGGAGTTTTAGAGGGAATACTTGTAACTAAAGGTGTTTAATGTTGGGATGTTTAAAGGGAAAGAAGGCCGCGAAAAGATTAAAGGTGACCTACTCTACTGCTAAGTTTAGGGGCTAGCTGTTTACGGGGTTTAGGGTGGACAGGGTTCCTAGGACTTTGGCAGCTTCGAGAGCTGATGTCCTCAAACCTTCAACACTACTCCCCACCCCAAAACTTACGGGATCCTACAGTAACCACCCCAAAACTTACGGAATCCTACACAAACCCCCTAAACCCTAAACCCTAAACCCTAAACCCTAGACCCGCCGCTATGTAGAAATCTCTCAGGCTCCAGGCCTTCGACACGTCGACGGTCGGGACCTTCTTGAGGCAGCCGTTGAGCCTGGCTTCGATCCCTTTGAACCCTAAACGCACTAAGCCCCAAGCCAGAAACTTTCTGCTTTTCGTGGATCCAACGGAAGTCTGCATCTACCTGAGTTCAGCCCGAAGCCCCAAACCGCAGAAGAAACACTCGTATCTTAAGACACGAAATCTTCAGGGATCCGCATTGCAGAGGCTCGAGTCCGGGAATCGACCTTGCTGCTTTAGGGTGTTCAGACGTTGGCTCCTTGGGGCGCGGCTTTCTAAATGGGGGTCTACGAAATTAGGGGACCCCGAAAATGTAGGCCCCCAAATAGTAGGATCCACTTATAATAAGGACCGCAGTAAGGTACGCCTAAACCCTAAACCCTAAACCCTAAACACTAAACCCTAAACCCTAAACCCTAAACCGTCCCAAATCCTTTGAGCCCATCAGGCCCCGACGAGGCTACTGGCGAGTGCAGATCGCCCAGGTCCTCCGTCCTCTTGGAACTGCTCCTGGGTTTAGGGTTTAGGGTTTAGGGTTTAGGGTTCAGGGCTTAGGGTTTAGGGTTTAAGGTTGGATGTCCCCGCTTATGCTAACAGTCCTTCATGGGGATTAGGTACTAGAATCCCGATCAAGGACTGTTAGTCTAGGGGTGAACATCCCAAGCTTTAGACACCTTGCAGCACCCAAAACCAACCCCACAAATCCGGAAGGGCCCCTGCCAAGCCACTTGCGTTTACATAGGGTTTACATAGAGTTGAAGGATCGGGTACTTTCGACTCTCACACTTACACACAGGGGTATTTCAAAGCGTTTAGGGCTGAGAGGCTCTTCAACCACCAGCCCTCCGCCCGAAAGCTTGGGACCTACATGGGCACCGATGGTTTCACTAGGGATGTGCCGGCCGGAGACTTCCCGGGGTTTGTGGACATCGGAACAATGTGCCCCAAAACCCCAAAACCCCAAACCCCCAAAACCCCAAAACTCCAAAACCCCAAAACCCCAAAACCCCAAAACCCCCAAAACCCCCAAAACCCCCAAAACCCCCAAAACCCCCCAAAACCCCCAAAACCCCAAAACCCCAAACCCCCAAAACCCCAAAACCCAAAAAACCCTCAACCCCCAAGAAGCAAAAGTCTCCTTGCCAGCTTCTTCTTGTCAGCGGCCACGCTCTTCTTCCCTTTCGTGGCCTTCGGGGCCTTTGCAGAGGGGTCTTCTTCCGCGGCTTCCGCGGCTTCCTTTCCTATAAAGTTCACAGCGTTTTGGAAAGGGAGGCTTTTGGAATTCTTCGGGCTCCCAAATCCGTACAAGTCCCTGGGTTAGGGGTTTAGGGTTTAGGGATATTCAATATTCGAAGGGTTTCGGAGCGGCGGAGGAGCTTCGATGAGGGCCTCTGTTCTGGCAACATGACCGTGAAATCAAGGGGGGGGTGCACCCTTCACATCCTATCTGAGAGATCAGCCCTAAACCCCTAAAGCCTAATCCCGTTTTTGCCACTGGTCTGAGGTCTATCCTAAACCCTAAACCCTAAACCCTAACCCTAAACCCTAAACCCTTAACCCTAAACCCTAAACCCTCAACCTCTTGAAGCTCTGGCGAGCACATCCGCAGCTCCCGAGGCTGAAGAGTCGCGCCTTGGCAAGTGCCTTGGCCACCTTCAGCTTCGAAGCTGCGGGCTTGGCCTGGGTTTAGGGTTTAGGGTTTAGGGTTTAGGGTTTAGGGTTTAGGGTTTAGGGTTTAGGGTTTAGGGTTTAGGGTTTAGGGTTTAGGGTTTAGGGTTTAGGGTTTAGGGTTTAGGGTTTAGGGTTTAGGGTTTAGGTTAGGGTTTAGGGTTTAGGGTTTAGGGTTTAGGGTTTAGGGTTTAGGGTTTAGGGTTTAGGGTTTAGGGTTTAGGGTTTAGGGTTTAGGGTTTAGGGTTTAGGGCTTAAGGTTTAGGGTTTAGGGTTTGGGGTTTGGGGTTTGGGGTTTAGGGTTTAGGGTTTAGGCTTCCATCACTAAATCACCTGCGATCACCCGCGGATATGCGGCGCGAGTTTCCACCCCCCCCTTCCGGGGCAAACTGGGCGGTTTGTGTTCAAACTCGTCCCCATGCAATCCCTCAAGGGCACCAAAACAAAGTCCATGGTCCAGATCACCCTGCAAGTGGCACACGTTGGGGCTGAGGCGAGCTTCTCAACAGGCAAATGACCGTACTCGTCTAGTCAAGTGGTGGAGGCGACCACCAATTTCAGAACCAGGCCTCCAGGCTGGTGAAACCCGAAACCCTAAACATCCCTGAGCACCAAGCTTCACCCTAAACCCTTGTTCCCTAAAAGCCTGAACCCTCAACCCTGGAACTCTTAATGGCCCAAAAGCCCTCCAAGCCCAAAGAATTGCACCCTACCACGGCGAGCCTTGCTGGCCTTGGAACTGGTGCTGATTGGCAACGTCGCCTTGGCCATGGAGGCTCAGGGGTTGGGGTGGAGGGTTTTAGGTGGAGGGGGAGTGGGAGGTCGAAGGGGTCAGTGTGGGCTTGGATCGTGTGCCGGGGCATCCCCCAAAACAACCTTGAACCCTAAACCCTAAACCCTAAACCCTAAACCCTAAACCCTAAACCCTAAACCCTAAACCCTAAACCCTAAACCCTAAACCCTAAACCCTAAACCCTAACCTGCAAGATCGCCTGAAAAAAGCCCCAGATCGCCCTCAGCTTCTTCAGCCATGGAGCCGCTTTGGCGGTGGCTGGCTTTGCTTTGCCCGGCGAGGCGAACATCTTCATGCGTTGAAGGAGGAAGTCTCGGGAGCCTGCAGCTTCATCGCTTGAGTAAACACTGATGGTCTAAGGTTGGGATGTTGCCCTGATGCGAACAGTCTCTCATAATTGGGGAGTATATTGTGTCCCCTCTTATAATCCCCATTGAGGACTGTTCGATAAGGGAGAACATCCCAAGTTTATGGCTTCGCAAGAAAGAGTCTGCGACTTGCATTTGCAGGCACTGCGAAGTCTTCAACGCAAAGGCTTCCCACTCCCAACCGGCCCGACGCCAGTGCCTGTGGAGGCCACTCCTGGGCGATCTAATCTTGACAAACAAGAAAGGACACCCAGACGATGCTGTTTTGTGTGTAATTCAGGAGCTTCCCTAAAACCAACCCAGGTAACGCAAGGCATTTTGGAAGCCACCTGCTTGTTCGGAACATGGGGCGACTGGACTAGCGACTGGAGCTCTGCCCTTTCGCACACTTGCGCTCGAGGGGTGAGGGTTGGCATCAGCTGGAATTCCCGCTGCCGGTTCGTTTTCCATCCTACTGCCAAACTTCTTTAGCAGCCCGTGATCAATTGCACCCGAGGATCCCAAAGCTCTCAAGTGCTCCTTGAGTTGCGGGACGGTCCATTCGAAGTACTCCTGCGACACCGACCCGGACCCTCAAGAACCTGAAGCCTAAATCCTATACCCCCATATTGCAGCAAATCGAAGGCTGTTGAAGCCCTTGAGGGGTAGGGTGCACAAGGTGTGAAACGCAGGGTCTGGGGACATGCAGGTCAGGGCTGTCCTCGCCCATGATGGACGCCAGCATTGTGCCAGGGCTGCACTCCGCTCTAACAAGACAGTCTACTTTTGGGGCCTTAATACTTCGAATAGAGTTTTGGGGGTTATCACAGTATGATTAATGAGGGATCAGAAGGGAATCCTATCAGTAATAATTCCGAGCCCTATATTACAGACTGGCCTTAAACCTATCAGTTATCATTCCATGTCTAGTAGACTTAGTAGACTGCATGGCATGGGCTCGGGATCATCTGGCACTTCCCAGGTTCAGACTTACGTTTCACCAGCTCGCGCGGGCTGGAAGGCCAAAAATGGCTGCAAATGCTGCGGGTAGCAATGCAGGCTGAGGAACTGGCGCAGGCCAAAACAAAAGGAACTGGCATCGGGCACAGCAACGTGGAGCACATCTCTCAACCTCGCACCATCCACCCCATTACACCTAGAACACACCAGACCCTAAAACCGAACAGGCCCCAACCCTAAAAAAATTGTCTTTTGAGCTCTCTGTTTTGTGGTAAGCCGCGCTTGAGCCTACAAATAAATCCTGAACCACCCTAAACCCTAAACCCTAAACCCTAAACCCTAAACCCTAAACCCTAAACCCTAAACCCTAAACCCTCCACACCATGGCTTGGAGCTTCGGAGGTTGCGCCTTCTTCAAAAGCAGTGCTGACTGAACTGCTCAGGGATCTCCTGGACAGAGACAGGCGTTCAGGGTTCAGGGTTCAGGGTTTAGGGTTTAGGGTTTAGGGTTTAGGGTTTAGGGTTTAGGGTTTAGGGTGTCTCAATGAGTGGGCGCGCTGGTGCTGAAAGCACCCAGGCGCGCGCCCCGAGTTGCATAAGCCCACCCCCGCTGGCGCTCCACCCTCGCCTTAACCTTTACGGGTTTAGGGTTCTTTTGAACTCTGATCGTGCTTTTGCTATTTTTCTCTTGTATATTGGTTGGGTTTAGAAGCTCGGCATCGATGCCGATCAACTACCCTGAAGCTCGCAGCCCCTAGGCATTGCAAGGCTGCGTGTTGGGCGGGGGTTGGAAAACTTGCTTGGAAGGGCGTCAAATCAGAAGTTTGCCTCATTCGAGGCTGCCGCCTTCGCGCCCTGAAGTCAAAGGGGTGGGATGGGCGGTTGCTGCTGCCTTCGCTTTCGCTGATGCTGCAGCTGGACCTTGTTGGAGTCGTGGTGGCCTTGTGAATCATTTTAAAAGTGAAAAACCCAAAGGTTTGGGCTTGGGGCTGGCTGCCGCCTTCGCCCTTGGTGATGCTGCGTCTTGTTGGGGATCTGGATCCCTAGCTTGAAAGGGCCAGGCACCTCAGGCCAGGGCTTGTTTTTCAGGCAGGGTAAGCAGATCCAGTCCCAGGCAGGGGGCCACAACCTCCCAGCTAAAACTTCAAAACCCGAAGGTTTGGGCTTGGGGCTGGCTGCCGCCTTCGCCCTTGCATGCTGCGTCCTGGCTGGGGATCTGGATCCCTTGCAAAAATCCTCAGACCAAAGCCAAGGCCAGAGTCAGGCAGGGGCCTTCCACAGGCAGCTCCCAGGCAGAGGCGATTGGCCCGCCCAGACTTTTCCAAAGAGCTCTCAAACTCCTTTCCTGCCCTCTCTCAGGCAGCGACTGGAGGGGGCCTCCCCGGCAGGGGCCTCCCAAGCAGCCAGGAGGGGCCTCGCTCAGGCAGGGGCCTCAGAGGCAGTCAGGGGCCTGCCAGGCAGGGGCCTCGGCAGCCGGGGGGGCCCTTCCAGGCAGGGCCTCCCACAGGTCCCAGGCAGGGGCCTCCTCTCAGGCAGGGGCCTCCCAGGCAGGCAGGGGCCTCCCAGGCAGGGGCCTCCCAGGCACGGCCTCCCGGAACCTCCCAGGCAAGGCAGGGGCCTCCCGGGGCCTCCCCACAGGGGGGCCTCCCAGGCAGGGGCCTCCCAGGCAGGGGCCTCCCAGGCAGGCAGGGGCCTCCCGGCAAGAGGTTGCGATGTTTTACCCGAAGGTTTGGGGTATCTTATTCTAGGGCGACCTGACGGGTTTCTCGCCAGCGACCTGCCGGGTCCACCGCGCAGCCCGCAGCTGCCTGCGGGACTGGAGCTCCGTCGCCCGCCGGAGGGCTTCTGGCTCCGGAGCTACCTCGCCTGCCGGCTTCGGTGCGTTCGCCCTGCTCGACGGCCCCGGGCTCACTCAGTTTAGGGTTTAGGGTTTAGGGTTTAGGGTTTAGGGTTTAGGGTTTAGGGTTTAGGCCTAGCTGACACTCACCACGCACTTCAGGGCAACACCCCGGGAAAGCCTTCCTGGTGTAACCCGGCGGTTTTGTTCGGAGTAGGGCCAGGGATTCGACACTCACTTTTAGACATGCAAGGGCTTTAGGATTTCGAATACAGACCAGATGAAAAGGTTTAGGGGCTCTCTCTGTGGGAGCAGTCTGCTTACGAACCTATGCGTATGCCTGTTGTCGCTGTGCAGCCGTGCTTGCCAACAACCTCCCCCCACCATCGTTAAATCCCAACCCGCAGAAAAACCAAGGCCTAGACCTCAAAACCAACATCCTAAACCCGAAACTCAAACCTTTCTGGGTTAGGCCTTGAGCCCCTCAGTCTCCCACACCCTGAGGTCTTAAACCCCTTGAAGCCAATACCCTCCACCCCGACCTTTGACCCACAAATTTAACCACGAACCTCAAGACCTCAACACAAAATCCTAACAAGACATACGCCCGAACACCCTACTTTCAACCGTCCTGACACCCTGAGGGCTGAACTGTAAAGCATCCCTTAAACCCAGGTTCGGCGCCTGCATTTGGGCATGGGAGAAGGAAGCCTCCCTCGTCCCGCGGAGTCCCCACAAAGCCCGGCTTGAGGAAAATCCGCTGCGCCGGATATTTGCCCAATGTGTTCAGGAGCTCAGAAGAAGCAAAACAAAAACAAAAACATATACATAGACATACATAAACACAAACAGACAGTAACAAACACACAAGGTCCTTCCGCATCTTGGGTCCTGGAGAGCTTGACCAAGCGGCTGGTACTTCAAAGCTTCCGGGCAGCACCCCGAGGCCTCTTTTGCTCTCCAGCATCCTCCCGGCCATGCTTTGCTGGCCGAATTGGCTAAGAAGCCCTCTGATTGTCGCACGAGTGCAAGAGGCCATGTCGCAGGAAGTCTTAAAGAGCTCGCGTGGGGGTTGCCTGGGGTGGCGCGGCACCCGCCCCATACCCAGAGACCACCGTACTTAGTCTGCAGAAGGAAGGTCGCCTTTCTGATCGCTGTCCATCAGGGCACATCTCCTGACTCCTCGGTGTGATGATGTAGCTGCAGGCTTCAGAAACCATGACACATGGTAGAGGGCTCGGCTCCAGCAACGTGTCTTCGTGTGCGTGTGTGGGTCACATCGCCCATGTCTTCGACGGAGAGGTCCATCTGAAGAGGTCCCGAACTCTGCCTGAAGACATGCAAGTCATGGATGCCAGGGATTATAGTACCCCTAAACCCTAAACCCTAAACCCTAAACTCTAAACCCTAAACCCCTAAACCCTGAACCCTGAACCCTAAACCCCTATCATAATCCCTATTAAGGACTGCTTGTATAAGGGCGAACAGATGGCAGAAGGACCAGAAGGTGAGGCAGCCAAGAGCCTGAAGAGCTCTATCAACTCTCTCAAGCCCCCAAACCCCTTTCTGCAACTTTTAGAGTTTAGGGTTTAGGGTTTAGGGTTTAGGGTTTCGGGTTTAGGGTTTAGGGTTTAGGGTTTAGGGTTTAGGGTTTAGGGTTTAGGGTTTAGGGTTTAGGGCTAGGGTGCCCTCCAAAACAAGGCTTGGGGGGGCATCTTGTCGGAACTCTTGTCGGGCCTCGTGTTCACCACATCCCGGGAATTTACCTGGCGAGGCCCGCGCCGACGCCTCAGGCACTCTATGCTCTTGGGATGCAGGAAAAAATGCAAATATTAACATGAAGTAATACTATTTAGAATATCGTGTCATTATGATAGAAGAACTTTTTTGTGATTACAAAACTATCATAGGGCTCTTGCGGGAACTCACATGATTGGAGAGAGGCTTCCTAGATTATGCTGGGGGCCGCGGCTCCACTCTCGGGATTCTGCGGGATGCTTGGCCGGCTTGAATGCGATGGCCACGTGCTGCCCCACATACATACTTTAGGATTAGCCCTAAACCCTAAACCCTAAATCCTAAACCCTAAACCCTAAACCCTAAACCCTAAACCCTAAACCCTAAACCCTAAACCCTAAACCCCAAACCCTAAACCCTAAACCCTAAACCCTAAACCCTAAACCCTGACCTAGGGGAGATGTGGCGTATCCTTTGTTCAGCCTGGCGACTCCAAAGCTGCTCCAGGAAGCGTCGGGCAAGCCTCCCGCACAAGTGGAGCTCGGAGGTCTTTTTGTGCCCTGAGCCCCCTAGACTTCACGGGCTTAGGGCTTAGGTTTAGGGTTTAGGGTTTAGGTTTTAGGATTTAGGGTTTAGGGTTTTGGGTTTTGGGTTTGGGGTTTAGGGTTTAGGGTTCAGGTTTAAGGTATTAACCTGAAAATGCTACAGGGTCTCATGGCTAAGGTCTGAGGGGCCGAGACCTCAAAAAGGTTTTGCAACACGGGCTGTGTTGTTCAGGAACCAACGCAGACGGTTCAATCGGATCGGCTCGACAGGCTACTGACGAATGCAGCCTGCCGGCCAGATGTGCTTGTGTAGAGAGTTCCGGTACCCTAAAACCTAAACCCTAAACCCTAAGCCCTCAACCCTAAACCCTAAAAGCACCCCAACAAGAACCTTTTTGCAGCCGGACGGAGAGCGACTCTGAAATACCGTCAAGAGCCCCGAACTCAGTACCACCAGCTGAAATCCCGGAATTAAACGCTGTTTGCGGAACATTTTCAAAAAGCACAACTTTACCTTGACGTATGAAATCAAGCGTGAATCTGGCGAAAGAGTTGGAGACATCCGTCAGCGAGGTCTTCAAGGCACAACGATACAAACTAGACCTTGACACAATCAATCCCCAAACTCCCCATCCACAGCACCCAAAAGCCTGAAAAATCTTAAGCACCCTAAACCCTAAACCCTAAACCCTAAACCCAAAAGAAAAACCCTAAACCCTAAACCCTAAACCCTAAACCCCCTCCGTACCGCATCCCTGGGAGCCTGAAATGCCCGGAGACTTCAATAACCTACAACCCCTACAAGCCCTGAGTCCCAATGAAACCCTCAGCCCTTAACCAAACCCTAAAAGTGTAGGGTTTAGGGTTTAGGGTTTAGGGTTCAGGGTTTAGGGTTTAGGGTTTAGGGTTTAGGGTTTAGGGTTTAGGGTTTAGGGTTTAGGGTTTAGGGTTTAGGGTTTAGGGTTTAGGGTTAACCCAAAAGCCAAAAACCTGGAACCCTTGTTTATACACCCACCTCCGGATCCACCTTGCAGGCGGCCCTGCCACGCCCTGGGCGGCCGCGGCATGGAACCAAACCTCTGCGGCCGGAACTTGCCGGGCTTAGGGTTCTTAGGGTTTAGGGTTTAGGGTTTAGGGTTTGGGGTTTAGGGTTCAGGGTTTAGGGTTTAGGGTTTAGGGATGTTTAGGGTTTAGGGTTCTTAGGGTTTTGGGTTTAAGGTTTAGGATTTAGGGATGTCTAGGGTTTAGGGTTCCAAGGTTTTGGGCTTGGGGCTTTGACGCGAATGCTGCAATCTACAACCCAACGACGCAACTCGCCCTACGGAACTGCGTCCTGCACACATCTTCTGTGAGACTTCACGCGCACTTGAGATCCAGATCGAAGCTACATTGTTGTCAAGGCTGTTCGGTCTAGCGCTCTTTTCTTCGCACGATGTGAGCTACTGTACAGGCACTCACTTCCGACCGGAAGCGGTGTCATGAGGTCTGCTGCCTCCCAAGCAACACCCCACCCGAAGGTGGCGTCACACGCGCCCCCAGCGGCGCTTGGGCTTTGCCCCCACCTCGGGTGGCGCATCCGAAGCGGGCGATGCTGAAGGCGGATGTGGCGCTTGCAGCGGATTCCTCTCAGAGCTCGGCCCAGGCTGCAGAGGTCCCAATGGTCCCGGCACTGTGGGGATGTCGTTGGGATATCCGTGGAAGGCAGCGGGCTCCGCGCAGCAGAGTGCCTCGGCCGAGTAGGCAGATGCAAAGCGTGGAGCCACCTTCGCTCCGAAGTAAGGCGGCAAAACGTGGTTCTGTGGATGCTGCTCCAGGGATCCATCCCGCTTGATGTGCGCCACCACGACGCCAAAACTCTCCAAGAGTCGCTGGGCCACCACTTGCCGGTGGCACTCATGCCAGTCTGCTTCCGCGCACATGATCGCCGTCTTTGGGCCCATGAGTGTAGCTTCGCTTGCGGTGGCGGCCAACTTTTCCAGAGCTGCCGCGCCATCCTCTGTGGCAAGCAGGGCCAGGATGCCACCGTCGACTCCCTTGTTGCCCAGCTGAGGGCAATGGCGGTAGGAAATGCCCCGGCGCTGGCAAAGCTGCTGAAGCGCGCTGCGCTTAAAGTGGGGGAATTTCCCGCTCGAGGGAATGCTGCGGACGTCGACGAGCTCCTTCACGTTGTGCCTGTCTAGGAGCTTGAAGAACTGGTCGGCTTCATTGTTGGAGTGACCCACAGAGAAGAGTCGACCACGCAGAAACCTCGAGGCTTCGGCCGTCTCGGCCGTTTCGGCCGTCCCGCTCGACTCTGCCAGGGGAGCTGCCATTGTCGAGGCAAAAACGTCTTAAACAGCTCTCTCGCTCTCTCTCGCTATCTCTCTGTGTGTTCTGCGGACTCAGTGCAACCTGTCAGCCTTAAACTTAAACGGCTCTGTTGACTTGAAAGAGTGCTCAGCTGCTTGAGCCACAGCTAGGGTTCATAGCTGACGGTGCCGTGGCTGTATGCCATGGCGCATGCCAGGCCCACGTGCTACAGCTCGCTTCACAGAAATCAGCGTTTTAAGATCGAAGCAACAAGGCCGCCACTCGGACGGACACCCATATTCAACTCCAAAGCCCGACTCTCTCGACCGTGGTGCAAAAAGCACAATCATGCAAGCTCAACAAATTCCCATTACCTCAGTTTCGGTGTCTACTCTTGATTAGTCATGACCCTTCCGTGCTACATGTGCACAGTCATGTCCAGTCTATCTTCACGTTAAGGGCACTCTATTTTGCATCTCCCCAAAAATGCACGCATGCACAAGCTCCTGGCCTCTGCGGCTGAAGTGTTCGGCGCTACGCCACGGCCCTCCTGGTCACGGGCAGGCTCTTTGTGGAGGCTAATCAGCCTCCAACCTCTGACCTGAACATGTCCCCCCGTACCCAAAGGCGTCGCCTCCAGTGCAACGGCCAGGTTGTACTGGGACCCGGCATGGCCTCTCGTGGTCAGCAAGGGCGACTGATGCAAACATGGGGCACCCCATCCACTCAGGTTCACTCATGAGGACCCGAGACAAGGGGGGGTGGCGGGGAAAGGAAAAGTCTCCATGACGGCTAAAGTTCTGGCACGGGCGCGTTGGCACGCGAGAACCGAAACCCTTAAACCCTCCAGCCCTAAACCCCCTTGTTTTAACCCTTCTTTCCCGGCAGACCATAAACAACGAAAAGCCCTCCAATCCCAAGTGTCCTAGAGTCCTCGAGCCCTCGAACCACTGCCTCGCTCGGCGGCGAGTCCGAACCACTGTGCGGCCGCGGAATCATTCTGGGGCAGGCCTTGGCCCATGGCCTGTCGGCGTGCTGAGTAGAGCTTCGTGGGGTCCAGGAAGCTTAGGGCTGTGACGAATAGCAGCAAGCTCTGGGCCACCCTTTGCATCCAAGAATGACACATTTGTCCAAAATCAAGCATAGCGGCCAAGGCCACCCCGAGCAAGAACTGCGCCTCCTGGCAAAGGCTTCGCGAATCCAAGCCTCCAAAAGCCGATGCTTCCACGAGGTCTTCCTCCGCCGCACACCCGAAACACACACTCCAACCATCTCCACCCCAAGGCCTAAACTTCTCATAACTTCTCTCTAAACCCTTGTTCGTAATCCCCTTTTACATCCAGGCCTCTGAAGTCTGCCGGGTAAGTTCGTAATCCCCCAAAGCCCGAAAACCCGGCGGTCCTCGTGGCCCTGCTCGGCGGCCCTCTGCAACCACTGAGCGGCAAATTCATTTCCGGTGGCCCCTTCCAGGTCCTATTCTGGCAAGGGTGGTGTAGGATTAGGGAAATTTAGGGTTTAGGGTAGGTGGGATAGGGCTTAGGGTTGGTTTGGGGTGCAAGGGGTAACGAGGGAAGCCGAGGACTTCTTTTTTTTGGTTTTGGGTTTGAGGTTTAGGGTTTAGGGTTTAGGGTTTAGGGTTTAGGGCTTAGGGCTTAGGGCTTAGGGATTAGGGATTAGGGAACCCTGAAATTTTTCAGGCATCGGTGCTCCTCCATCAGCTCCCTGCCCAGCGTATACTGGGCCTGGGCAGACCCTGCCTCAGCGGCGACCTGCAGCCAGAAGAAAGCAGGCGCCTGGTCCTCGGGCTCGGCATGAGGGTTTCTTAACGTTAAACATCCCGAAACGGGATTTTTACGGTTTGTAAACGTTAAAAAACACTGAAAGCAGACGCCTGGTCCTCGGGACGCGGCTCGAGGCTTCAGTCTTGTGACTTTCATGATGCAAGGTCGGAGAGATTGCGAGTCATGAAGGGTGTGATTTCTTTGTTGGGTGGGAGGGGGTGGCTTTAGGGTTTTGCCTGGAGATTGAAGAATTCGCAGACTTCGATTGTTCAACGATAGAAAGAGAGAGAGAGAGAGAGAGAGAGAGAGAGAGTGAGTGAGTGAGTGAGTGAGTGAGAGAAGAAAGGGGGTGGGTGCACGGTACAGGAAAAGACGTCGTCTAGGCAGCCCAAATGCCTCCCCCCAAACAAACCCTAAACCACCAAATGGAGACGGCTATCTGGGTCGGACTCAATCCTTCACAACCCATGGGTCCAAAAACCCCACAGCCTAAACCTTAAAAACCCTAGACCCCCCATAAATCCCCCTAAAAGAAAGCCTATATCCCCTAAACCCACCCAAAAACAAACCGTAAACACCCTAAACCCTGAACAACCCCAAACCCTAAACCCTAAACCCGAAACCCTAAACCCTAAACCCTAAACCCTAAACCACTGTTTAAGGTTTAAGAGAGGCCAGGGTCCACCGGGCCATGTGTTCCCTCCAGGAAGCTCGAGGCAAGCTCGAAGAAGGTCTGAAGGGCTTTTTCGGGGGGGGGGGGGGGGGGGGGGTTTTGGGGCTTCGGGTTTAGGGGGTTAGGGTTTAGGGGGTTTAGGTTTAGGGTTTAGGGGTTTAGGGTTTAGGGTTTAGGGTTTAGGGTTAGGTTTTAGGGTTTAGGGTTAGGGTTTAGGGTTTAGGGGTTAGGGTTTAGGGTTAGGGTTAGGGTTAGGGTTTAGGGTTTAGGGTTTAGGGTTTAGGGTTTTAGGGTTTAGGGTTTAGGGTTTAGGGTTTAGGGGGTTAGGGTTTAGGGTTTAGGGAAACACTCTGCATCAATTTTGGGGGGGGGGGGGGGGGGGGGGGGGGGCGGGGGGAGTGGGTGTTTAGGCGTAATTGGTTTAGGGTTAAGGTTTGGGGTGCCCTAAACTCTGGACCTCGTTTTGCATCCGGGCCCCTGAACGTGGTCGCCTAAACCCTAATTACTCTCAGAAGCAGCCCTATTCATCGGATAACCCTAAACCCTAAACCCTAAACCCTAAACCCTATTCATGAGCAGCACCCCCTCACCTTGTGGCCATCGGATAAAGTCTAGGGTTCCTGCAGAGTGATAGACGCTCCTTGGGATGTTCCCCCCTATACTAACGGTCCTTAATAGGGATTGTAGTACCTTATGATAGTCCCTGTTAAGGACTGTTTATATAAGGGGGAACATCCCAAGTTAAGTGATTTAAGGTTTGGGGCTTCCGAATTGAGGTACCCTACCTTCTTGGCGTCCTTAATATAAGGGAGTCCTACTATGTGGGTACTCTAATCCCTATTAAGGGCTGTTAGTGTCTTTAAGGCTTTAAGGGGGAACACCGCAAGGTTTGGTACTTGCCCTAAACCCTAAACCCTAAACCCTAAACCCTAAACCCTAAACCCTAAACCCTAAACGCTAAACGCTAAACGCTAAACCCTAAACCCTAAACCCTAAACCCTAAACCCTAAACCCTAAACCCTAAACCCTAAACCCTAAACCCTAAACCCTAAACCCTAAACCCTAACTGAAAGGGCGCCAAAGCCTCCGCGAAGAGCGACGTGCGCGCCGCGCCGCTTTCCAGGGACCGACGGGCCCATGTGGCACTACAAGTCCGGTTGACCTGGGGCTTTAGGGCTTTGGGATCCCCTAAACCCTAAACCCTAAACCCTAAACCCTAAACGCCAAACCCCAAAACCCCAAACCCCAAACCTTACACCCGGAATCCTGAACCCCGGAATGGCTGTCTATGGCTACGGTGATTATCTTTTACAGAGCTTTGGGGTTTAGGATTGGCCCTGCAAGGCAAGGGGATTGGTATGCTTCGAAGGGTTTTGGGACTTCAGGGTTTGTGGATGCAGTGGGGGTTGGGGTGCGTTCCGCACGCCTGCACATGCATTCTACTAAGTTACGACACGTTGAAGCACTGGGCAACCAAAACCTGCCCCTATCAGCCTACAGTACGCTTGGCTTCTGTGGGTTGATAGCTCGAACCTGGGAAACCAGAGCCTGGTCTGATGTTTACTTGGGACTCCTAACCTACTTGCGGTATGATCGCAAACGGTCCCTTATCCATCCTACAGTGTTCGTATCGCTGATGTATAACTTCACAGCTCCAAGAATTTGGGCTGCTGAGGCTCCTCCATGAACTTGCCATCCATGCAGAGCTCGGCCAAAAGGAGCTGCGCTTTGACGCAACCACCAGAAGCAGCTTGGGTGTAGTACTGGTACACCTCCTGCACCGCCTTCTCCATCCTTGCGTCCTTCCTGTCATGTGTTTTGATGAATGTGCGTGTTCCCTCTAGCTGTTAGAGAAAGTGCACTTTGTGAGGCGCGATTGTGGATCCAGCCCAGAGGAGTAGATGCCACGCTTCTGATGCAATAGGTAGCTTCACTTGCAGCCCTATGGAGATCTACATGCAGCTCTCTGTCCCTGGACCCTTAGAATCCCACCTGTCAGCCAGCTGGCGCAACTCCCGATGTAGCAGGCTGCCCGTGCGCAGCTGTGCTTCCGTGTGGCCCTGGTCGGCTGCTTTCCGGTACCACTCCAGGGCTGCTGGGGCATCTCCACCTCAGAGAAACCACTGCTCAGTTGGGAAGGGCGAGCTGGAAAGGAGAAAGGAAGGCTGCAAGGATCCTCTCAGCCTTAGCCCTAATCGGGAACGCAGGAATGAGCTTTCGCGCGTTTTAAGCAGTACTACCGGAGTTTCCCGACTCCGGAGTATGCAGCTGAGGACCTGGGGACCTGGGGTTGAGAAGCATCACGCCACCTCTGCCCCGAAGTCAGTCAAACACTACCGAGGCACCTCCCAGCCGGAGGGCTTCCGCGTGCTGGAACCTCGATTTCCGCTTTGTTGCAGGTCAACCAACTTGCCACGGTACTTCTTCGGACCCTGCAAGCCCTTGAAGGAGAACAATCATCACGTGTAATCAACACACGGCAGCAATTCCACGCGCATCCCATCCCATGAAACCTCGAATACCCTAAACCCTAAACCCCAAATAAACCCTAAACCCTAAGCCCCCAAACATCAAACCTCCAAAGCGCCCCAGGAAGCTGGGCTACAGCAACGCCCTCCTGCGCCGCGGCCAGCCGCGACTGGGCCACAGACGTCGACATCCAGTGCCTGGTTTGTGGCTTGGCTTCAAGGGTTAAGGGTTAAGGGTTAAGGGTTAAGGGTTAAGGGTTAAGGGTTTAGGGTTTAGGGTTTAGGGTTTAGGGTTTAGGGTTTAAGGTTTAGGGTTCAGGGTTTAGGGCTTTGCTCCTGAAGGCGCTCCGCCTCGCCCGCGCCCCCTCTCCACACCCCCATCAACCCGACCCAAGACGCACGCCCTACCCTAAAAACCCTAAACCCAAGACTCCATACCCCAAAACCCTAAACCCAAAACCCCATGCTGGGCCCCATACCCTAAAAACCCTCAACCCTGACCCCTAAACCCTAAACCCTATAAACCCTAAACCCTAAACACATCCCCCTAAAAGCGCCTAAGCCCGAGGGGCTCGGGCCAAACGCCGCCCACGGCCGCAAGCCGTGCTCCAGGGCTCCCGGGAAGGTCGAAGGCGGCGACCACGAGGCGCTCCCCTGCGGTGATGTTCTTCCTGGGACATCGCAAGATGATAGAGGCATAGATTACTTAGCAAAATATACCAATATACGAATATAACAAGAATTAAGGATATTAGTACAATACTACAACAAGAATATATAACATAAGAACACAAGGAAAAAAAAAACAATACAACACCAGAGGAATATGGCCAAAAGATCAAGATCTAAGAAGAAAAAATGGACTGATAATACGGCAATAAGGAAATAAGATGAAATAAGGCAATCATGCAACCGTCTAACTGTATATTATAGCATTCAGATAAGAACATAAATATATCAAGGATGCTCCTCCTGGAGCTCGATTCTTGGTCCCTAAACCCTAAACCCTAAACCCTAAACCCTAAACCCTAAACCCTAAACCCTAAACCCTAAACCCTAAACCCTAAACCCTAAACCCTAAACCCTCCTGTCATGCAGCAGAGCTTCAGGGCAGTTAGGCGGAATGAGCCAAGGGGAGCCGCGCGATCGCAGATCTGGTAGGCGGACAGCTCGGCTGCTGAACTCTCCAGGTGCACCTAAGGAACTCCACTTCTTCTGCTTTGCAGATTCGAGTTAGGATTTGGGGTTTAGGATTTGGGGTTTAGGATTTGGGGTTTAGGGTTTAGGGTTTAGGGTTTAGGGTTTAGGGTTTAGGGTTTAGGGTAAACAGGCCAAATACATTTACACAAACTAGAATCCTTCATGTTAGCTCGCGGGGCCGACGCAGCCACGTTGGCAGAGCTTGATTCGTGAGCCAGCGCGCCCGGGAAGAGGATGGGGAGCACCAGCAGGTCGAGATCCGGATGGCCG